AGTTCCAGACCCCAGGTAAATCTCTCCCCGACTCGTCCCAAATCTTCTTGCGGGCAGAGAAAGGCGCGTCCTGCAGCCCAAGTAACAAGGGCCGGCTCCCTGGCTAAATTAACATCCATCTCCCTACTCTCCCCTCCCACCTGAGCTTTGGCATGTTCCTCCAAAAGCCTGTCGTATTCCCGTGTCAGTCCTGCGGCCTGTTCTTTCAACGCAGCCAAATCTTTCTTTGTCCTTTCAAGCTCTGCCGGGATGAAAACCAAACCAGAGAAGGTCAACTGTGATGTATTCACACACGTTTCCTAAGCTTCAGGCAGTTTTCTTGTTTAATTTTTGAGTTCTGATTGGCTCCTTACGATACTTCTTTACTACTGGGCTGTTGTAATTATCTTGATTTTCGTTTTATGGTTTTATAACAGTAAACCACTAACATTTGCCCATAAAGGTGACCAAAATCTATTTTCTCCTCACAATATTACCCCAAAATCACTCATTCATCCTTTAATTCCCAAGATCACATTAGTAATTCTCCTTACTGTCTGCCATACAGTTCTTGTGATGTTAGTTGGGAGAATTTGGCATTGGATGAACTTATAACTCCCTAATTGATATTTTTCTTTATTCTCATAACTTGTCTGTTTGATATTGCATCGATATTGTAAGGAGAAATTCTGTCTTGGTCACTCAAATGGTTAAGGAAATGATCACCAACAAAAGAAGCTCTTGACTGTTAAACAAATTCCTTTATCAGCACTTTAAGAAATGTGCAGAGAACAGTACTGAGAAAATGCATACTGATATTTGGGGGCTTCCTTCTAGCTGCTTGAATACACAGTTCCTTGAAAATTATTTGATAGCATATCATGATAACACACTTCAACTGAATAAATGGCTGCAAATATACGAAAATCATATATATGTGAACTGTGGTTGAAGAAACAAAAATGAAAGTGATCCTTGTAGTTATAAAAACTACTTAACCAGTAGTGAAAAGTAAGGAACTCGAGAACATGATGACCAGCTCCCAGTTGGCTTGTTAGCTCAGTTGGTAGAGAGCTACCGGTATTGCAGAGGTCATGGGTCAAATCCTGTACTGGCCTGAATTTTTTTCAGGCCTTATTTTCACTGCTAGTTAAGTAATATTCATGACTGTGAGGATTGTTTACATATTGGACCCTCCAACTGATTGGTTGTGTCTTCTCATTACCACTCCACTGGGTGATGTTTAGAAATTGTAAGGAGAAGTTCACCTCCCTGGAGCAACCATTAAACAGTCAAATTTCTGCTTAAGGTATCCATACATTTAAGTGCAGAAAGGCAATGAGACATGAAAAAAAAAGCCTTTAACTGAGGGCAAATAAATTCTCAGAGCAAAATTTTAAAGAAATATTGGACAAACAGTATAGAGAATACATATTCAGATCTTAGAAGTGAAAGGGCTAAAGGGTTAAAGACAATTTGACCTCCCCTCCCCTCCCCTCCCCCCCCTTGTTAAAAAGTGTCATACTTAGCAGCACCTTCAGATCGTTCTGAAAGCTTCTTGGATTTATCTTCCAAGGCTTCTCTCAATTCTTTCAGCTCTTGGTTCATTTTATCTTCATCTTTTGTCTCTGTCTTTGTCTCTGTTTTTCCTTCTGTGCCTTCTATGGCCTTTTTAAGAGAGATTTAACAGTTATAAACAAATGAAAGAAACATATCTTTTTCTACAAAGTCTATGTCATCTGTGCACAAAATTCTTCTGCTTGATTAGTCCTGTCTAATAAAACCACAATTGAAAGATTTAGGGCAAATATGTTCCCACCTTTTTTCAGTGCTTTCAAAGGAGCTCAGCAGTTCTTGAAGTTTTCATGAGGCTCTTTCTTTTATACACAAAACATGGTTATCAATTTTTCTTTGCTAGATTGCTATACGACACACAAGACCCACCTTGCACATACCTTTCAACATTACCTTTTTAAGTTCATTATTTTCCTCCATCAACTTTTCGCACTGCTGAGACACATTTTGTGCTTGACGCAGACTGGCTTCATTGGAAGCTTCAAGAACAGAATTTTTGGAGAGAAGCTTTCCAACGCGACGTAGCACTCTGTGAAGGGTAACAAGGTTAAAATTTATAATTACCACAGAAATTGATTTCCAAAATTTCCTTACTTTTCCATGATAAAAAAGTATTATCTTGTAGACTAATAATTTTCAGGTAAGTGATGTTAAATTCTTTAATTTTTCCTTGCAGTATTTACCATTTATAGTTCAGCATTCCTATCTTGATATATAAACTTTCAACCATGAGATCCAAGGCAGAGTTTTAGGCTCAAACTCAAGTTAAATGCTTCTCAACATACCTATTGCCTGACTCATGTTTTTTCAAAAGTAATCATAAAACTCTTTAACTCCAAAGATGCAATAAGCAGTTAACCATTCTAACCATTAAAATTTTCATTAAAACTTAGTCAAAAGAATCATGTGCTCTTGCTAGAAAATAACCACTTACTGTAGCTGATACTTTCCTCAACTCTCATTTCCTATTTACTGGATAATATGGTGATATAGCAAGGAGAAGTTCTGTTGCAATCATTTCTATCAGTTTTAAGGTAAATACTTAATAACATATCTTACATCAAAAGAAACAGGGAAAATCCAGAAATGTACAGATTACGCTGTGCACGAAACAATTTCATCTGAGCCATGATTTCAGCCTGAGGATTGTTGTGTAAGTCAACTTGAGAGGCTGACTCCATCTTGTTGTACCTTCTGGTTTCTCGAATTGAATCTAAAAAATAGTAAATTCATGAAAATGCAAGACTAATTTTGATGGTTTCAACACTTTTTTTTGGCTAATGGTTTCTGTTGGCTGTCTATCACACTGAGATTAGGAAATAACATTAAGCTTAAACTGGATAAATAAAATTAAACTCCAGTAAATTAGTTTTCATATTCTCCCCACTGTTCTCCTTAATTTTCCTGTGGTACCGACAAGGAGAATTTGTTTAATAATCTGGAGCTTCTTAAACGGGAGATCATTTCCTTTATTCTCATGAACTTTATAATTGATTCAAGGGTGATACTGTAACAAGAAATTAGAAGCCAAAGACTCTTAGGGGTTAAGGGTTAACTTTCATATTTTCAGAATGACATGCTAAAAAGTACCAGCCAGCCATGATTAGAGTAAATTCAGTTTACATACAAAGGCTATGTCTTATTTGGTTAGAAGGGATTCCATCTTTAAGGGTAAGAGAGTCCTGTAGCCACTCAAGACATACATCAATGTCTACACTTCAGTTTCAATACCACATAACCAAAAATTTCTTCAAAATAGCATTTCATGGGAAAATTTGGATTAGAAATAGAAAGTAACACAATGGTTTTTCTGATACTTTATTGATAATAGTCATAAGTATGATTGGACAATTGAATCTCAAATCAACTGGAAATATTGGTTGGGTGGTGGTCTACAAACAGGATTGCATAATACCCACTTATGGAAAATATCTGATTATTTGTTGTGAAATTTACTGCAGTCTTTCTAAATAGGTTGATGATTGTTTCTGGTCTGTTGATAATTGCATCATGTGTGAAAATCCAATTAACATTTCAATCAAGGTACATCTTCACTATAAATAGTAAGGATGACTCAACATCAAGATAAACTTATGCGTTGAAGGCAAGATTAGCTTAAAAGATTCCCAAAATTTGCAATACATGTGACTCAGGAATGACAAGTGACATTTTTTTCTTGGCTTTTCACTAGTTGGTTTTCTTTGATCAAGGAAAGCTACTGAACAATTCCTCTTTCACTTTGGGCACATCCCGGAAGCATGACAGAAATACATACTGTATGATGACAAATGCAGACTTTGGCATGGAACTATGTAAAATTAGATTCTGATAGCATAGCATAGTCTCTTTATAGGCTAATCTTGTTCAACACAGATGGCAGAGTGTAGTATGGATCGTTTAAACGCTGGCTAGTTTTGTAAATGCGCTATTAACATAGCACGAATCATTTGCACGTCAAAATTAAATGTGTTACCTAGTAAAAGTAGAGCCATCACTAACGCAATGACGTTGAAGTAGAAATTTCCATACGCAAACAAAGCAGCCACGAACCTGGAGTTAAAAAGTTGATTCCATCTAAAATACAAAATGCAAAAGTATTAATCATTCATTGAAATGATCAACGCCAAGGTGGAAGCTCTGCATTAATGTTATCTTTCATGTGACGGTATCCGCCAGTTTCGCCCCATTTCATTTTCGATCCAGTAACTTCGCCCCGCATCAAATTCAATTTCGACTCGCCATATGACTGATACATAATAAATAAATTCAAACATATCACAAACATATATAATAAAAGCATTATCAAAGCATTATGTTTAAGCAAAACACAAAAAATACTATGCACATCCTTGGTACATGTACATGTACATGAACATAAAGATACGTTCGAAAAATTGTCTATTTTGCACAAAATCTACACAATTCTTGTCTCCGTATGTTTCCGTAAATACCTTTAAATATAAATCTGTTGCATGAATACAAATGTTAAAGCACATTAAATGTAAGTTAGACATAAAAATACACATATGATAAAGCGAACTTGAAGTAGACACGGGTCGAAGTTACTCGGGGAGAAAAGGAAACAGGGCGAAACCAGCGTAAATCCATGTGACACTCGATCGACTAGAGCTGCAAGTTTTCAGATTCTCCCTATTCAAAAACCTTACCTTTTGGCCGAAATAAAAGGAAGACAGAACAACAAAAGAACACCGATCTCAGTGTACAGAAAGCCAGCAGCGAGAGTCCACTGGATAGTCATTGTAGCGAATATGTCTTTCGAACTATTCTAACCTCCACAGAGCGTTTTATTACAAGATGTTTGATGAATGTACAGTCAGACTTCGGAGGTAGCCGAGCCTTCTAGGCTTGGTAGCCTAGCAATGTAGGATATCGGATCCATTCCGACCAACTCCGATCCAATGACGAACACTTCCGATTTTAGATCTCATTTTTGACAAGTTGTCACATACACATCAGAACTTTCCTGAATGTTGTTTGCCAAAAACTCATATATCCATCTGACCACTTTTATCATCATGTTGCTCGTCAGTGTGCTGTTTTTGTCTATAGTTGGACCTTTGTGCGCTTCCTTGAAACGATCGAGTGAGCAACTGTCCGAAAGAATTCCTACACCTGATGCTGTTTCAAACACGTTATGGCCTCTTCCAGCTTCGGTGATAAGCTCCGGACCGCCCCTTGTAATTTCTCCAGCTTTCGTTATTCAGACATCGTCAAGCTCGGGTGTCGTGAAACGCGGAATAACACGATATTTGGAAATAATATTGCGGCAAATCGGAGGAGATCATATGCAGAATGCGAGTGGAAAAAGTGAAATGTTGAGTGAACTTGTGTTGAATGTGCGTAGTGATGAAGAGGTTTTGCGCGTTGACACCTCTTACTGGTATATGTTGAAAATCAGCAATGGCCAGGCAAACATAGAAGCTAAAACGCCTTATGGAGCATTGTAAGTGCGTTTTTTAAGTCTGTATATATTTTACCTGCTAGCTTGTTATATTGGTACACTGGTTGAACATTTGAATTAGGTAGAAGGGGTGCGGGGGGGGAACTCACCATGACCATCCTTTGAGAAATTAGTTTTTTCAAATCAATAACATTGTCGACTGCCACCACCCTTTATCCCCAGTGATAGAAACAAATATCAAAAAGAGAAATTACCTGTAGATAGCATACATACTGATAGGCTCAGTTGGTTGCATTGAGCATTGACTGAAGTGGGTGAAGCTCAGCATTCATGCCACAGACAGGGCTAACTTTGATAACCAGACTCCTGTTGGTGGCAATAAGAAATTGTTTCCTGAATGCCTTTGATCTTTTAGAGCTTTCACTAGTTTAAGAGAATGAGCCTTCTTCAAGATCATACATGGGTTTTTTAACCATAACATCAATTTCCATATTCTTGATACTCTTCTCTACACTTGTACTTTGGTATTGAAAAGGAGAATTCATGTAACAATCAAAGCCTCTTAGGTTGGCAATCACTTTCTTCATTCTCATGATCTTAATGAATGATCCAGCAGCATTACTGTAAGGAGAAATTAGATGCAGGTCACTCTTAAGATGAATTAATCTTAAAACTGCATGATCTGTTTGTTCCTTATCAGTTTGAAATAAAAGTTGTTTACTTTGGCCCAATACCTTTTTTTATACAATTATCCTTGCAGGTATGGGTTGGAAACATTCACCCAGCTAATTGAAAATGGAAATATAATAAATAGTGATGTGACAATTGATGATGAACCCAGATATGTACACAGAGGCCTCATGCTAGATGCTGGGTAAATGTTCAAAGTTTAGTGCTTATCATTTTACAACAATTTTTTTCATTGGATAATACCTTATTGTGCAAATCCAGTGCCGCAAATAGTTTAAGAGCTTTAACCCTTAAACTCCCAAGATCTGATTGTTAATTCTCCCATTTAGTTGCTATACATTTCCTTGTAAATTAATAATTAATGAAAACTTGGTGCTAGATCAAGATAGCAGCTTCTACCTGATGACTTTGAATATTCTCATAACCTGTTTGATGAATAATGTATGGATATTATACAGGGAAGTTTCATGTTAATCACTTCTGGGAGTTAAAGGGTTAAATTCAGTCAAAAGATTATTTTTTTTCAGTTTGTACTCTTTATAAGTTATTAATGATGAACAAAAATACACCATTGTAATGATAAAATTAGGAAGGCATCGTCAGGAACTGCAAACACCAGCCCATAAGCTGCACTTGGAGATAAACCACACCTCAAGTTTAGTCACTCAAATTTTGGAAAAAATTAATTTTTAGATAAGAAATGATAAAAAAAAAGTTGAGTCTTGAGAAAGTTACTGTATTTTGGTTGCTTTGTCAAACATACATGGAGATAGAGCCACAATCATTGAGAAAGTGGAATACTGTGAATCCCTACCTATAATAATTATTTTAGCTTGTAGCTAGGACATTATATCTGCTGACTTTGACTTACATGTATGTTCAATCTTACTCTGGTATTGTTCTTTGTCTTAGGCGCAGATATTTTCCCCTTGAACTTCTGTATAATATTCTGGATGGCATGAGCTCTGTCAAGTTAAATGTTTTGCACTTCCATTTTGCAGACTTCTGTCGATTCAGTGTTGAAAGCAAGCTGTAAGTGACCTAAATGCAGACGGCAATATTGCACTTTAATTTAATTTATGACTTATGCCTCTGTAGACTCTTTCTCTTTCATTTTTTTGTGATGATGACCTCTGAACATAGGTTGTCAAGCTGCTGTAAAGTACTTTTCTACTTGTGGCTATGCCACCCAAAATTATTTTGTCTAAGTCATGTACTAGATAGATCTTTGTTGCTGTTCAACATGCAGTTTGCATTTTTTTTTAAACTTTTAGCTATCCAGATTTAAGAAACAACGAGAGTCAGTTTTACTCCCAAGAACAAGTAAAATCACTGGTATCTTATGCTGCTGACAGAGGAATAAGAGTAATTCCAGAAGTGGAATCAGCGTAAGATATGAAGTCTCCTTGATATTATTCAAGAGATTAGATCAGCCTCAAATTTTTGTATTATTTTTAATTTGCCTTTGAAAGGTCATCTGACATGCTCTCTGCAAGTATCACTAGCAGTGCTTTGTGGCCTTACACAGGTTCAATACAAATAAATTGTAATTCAGAGTTTTTCTTCCTTAACATTGCACTAACTTTTTTCAATAAGTATAATGTGAGTTGCTTTTAGTCTGACTAATTTTGACTTATTTTGAAGCTGTTGAATGAATTATTGCAATAAACAAACAGACTGAAGTGATTTTTGGTTGTTTTGTGAAATAGTAAACACTTGCAGTGATAGCCTGTTGTTTAAAAAATTATCTTTATTACCATTTAATTGTTAGTAATAGACAAGCTAATTATTTAACCTTTAGATTCCACGTCCTTGGAATGATAGGCCTACAGAACAAGACTAAAGGGTTATATTTCTGCAATAACTCGATAGGATATATTGAGCTTTACAATGATCCTGAGGTAAGTAAGCTAGAATACTATTATCACTAATTTCTGTACTTGAGTGCAATGATTATTGGTTAACTTGAATGGAAAATTGTGAAATTGTGAGTTTAGTGAGACTTGAGTTTAGTGGACACATCTTACAGTTGTTCTCATTAACCACAGAGATACAAGCCCATAGGAGTCTGAATTCCAGAGATGTTTGATTTTTGTTGAACATGATGATCTTGCAAACCCCTTCCCTCCCCCTCCCCTGCTACATCCTCTCCCTCCCCTGCTACATCCTCCCTCCCCTGCCACATCCCCCCAAAATTTGCAACCTTTTTCTCCATTCCATCCCTTGAAGTTTAACCCTTTAACTCCCAGGATCTGATTGTTAATTCTCCCCTCTATCAGCTACTCATTTCCTTGTAAATTAGTGGAAAGAATTTGGTGTTAGATCAAGATAACCTCTACCTGACACATTTGAGTACCCTCATTACCTCTTTGTTGGATAGTGGATGGATGTTGTAGGGAGAAGTTACATTTGAATCACTTCTGGGAGTTAAAGGGTTGATACATACTCCAAACACTGAAAAAAAAGCACAAATTACATCCATTCGCTATCAGTAAACCCTCAATGTTTTTGTAATGGTGATGTTGCAGTTTAAAATGAATTTCAGGTTACATGATTTCAAACTAATCTGACATGGTCATATCATAGTTCTTAACCCTTTAACTCCCAAGATCTGATTGTTAATTCTCCCATCTAGCTGTTACACACTTCCTTGTTATTTAGTTATAAGAATTCAGTGTCATATCATGATGACAACCTCGAAATGATAAGTTTGAGTAATCTTGTTACTTGTTTGTGGGATAGTGTATGGATATTGAAAGGAGAAGTTACATTTAAATCATGTAAAACCAAAAAAAAATTTTCATAGGAGTATGGGGCTGGCTCCCCATTCTCTTTTATAGTAAAAAAAAAAGATTAAATTTCTTTGACAAGGAGTCAATTCAGTGAATCTTCTAGGATACACAGTGATTTGCTTAGTGTTTAGGGTAGTTGCTTTATGATTTATGTAACCACCATCTTAATCTTGTCTAGGGAGTTACAGTGAACACAATGAAAGGCATTCTTGAAGAAATGATGACACTATTTCCTGATCAGTACTTTCACCTTGGTTTGGATGAAGTTATAACTACATCTGTGTGTACTATGGAAAGTAAGTCTGTTGAACAGTCACACTAAGTGTTGACAGGTCCAAGGATAAATGAAATCAATTTTATTTGTTAACCCTTTCACCCTGAAGAGTGACCAGTATCTAATATCAACAATACAGTATACAATATCAACCCTGAATCAAACATTTAGTTGTGAGAATAAAGGAAATGATCACCAGCCAAAAAAGCTCTTGATTGGGAAACAAATTCTCCCTGTCAGCAACTTAAAATTTATAGTGAAAAGTAGGGAGAAAATGAATACTGATTTTAGGGTTTTTAGGGTACATACAGGACCTCAATTACCTCTGCTTTGTAAATTCTGAGAGGGACACTGCGATGAAGTGAATTTTAATGTATCATCCACAAAACCTAGTGCTTCAATACAGAAAAATTGCAATCTGAAATATTCAAATGTTTTTAATGATCAGAGCCAAATTTCATATCACTTTGCCGCCAAATGATATCCATTGTCACTTTACTAGCAAGAATTTTGATGTGGAAATAAGTAAAGGTTGAAATGATTTTATCGAGAAATAGCCACTAACTCAATTGTCAGCTGAACATGGAGAAAGTAAACAGGTGCACCTTGCCCAAACTTTACATACTTATCTGGGAGAATTTTTGATTGAGTTTTGTTTTAACCTTTAACCTCTAAGAGTGACTAAAATCTAATTTCTCCTTACAACATCACCCCTGAATCAAACATTAAGGTTATGAGAATAAAGGAAATGATCGCCAACTGAAGAAGCTCTTGATTGTTGAATAAATTCTCCTTGTCAGAACCCTAGGAAATGTCTAGGAAGTAGTATGGAGAATATGCATAATGATGTTAAGGAGTAAAGGGTTAAATCAAAACCAAAATGAGATTAGATCTGCTCACAGCAAGACAGGGGAAATTATTGCTCAAAACCATTAAGAAATCAATGAAAGTACAAATGAGCAAATTGCCTGAAGTGCAGGGAAAAATGTTTGATTGAATTCTGGCTGGTTTTAGTCTTGTGCACATCTGTATCTCCTCAGCTAAATAAGAGGGTGTCACAAGTCTTCTAGAACACGTGCGGAATGAAATAAGATAATTAAAACCAAATTATGGAATACTTTGAGAGCTCAAAAATTACCAAAAGTTGTCCCTCCACACAAGGACTAGTTGTAATTTTTTTTTTTCACTTTGATGCAGAAACTAAGGAGTTAGAGCAGGATTTGCTCAAATTTCTTCAGCAGAAAGGCAAGACACCATATGCTTGGCAGGAAGCACTATTATCAACAGCTGCTGTGAGTTGATAATTTAACACTTGTCATGGGTAGTATTGAATGATGGAAATAAGTTACATTTAATTCAAGGTATTTTTAATCAATTATTCAATATTACTAATGATTTAGTTTATACCACACAGGTGAATGGTACTTTTTATGCATACTGATTGGATAGTTTGCTTGTTAGATTGAGTCATCACCCTTTTAATGCATTTTTATTTATTAAGGCAAGTGCACCCAAAACTTATTTTCCAATCCTCTGAGGATTAGGTTGTCACAAAAAAAAAGGATATGTGATCTTTATTACAAATTTAAAAGAGCTTTCATTGCTGACTGAGTTTCATGTAGTATTATGATCAATGCACTGTCTTTGGTTTTTTTTTATTTTTTAGGCAGTAAATGGAACAGTGTTACAAGCTTGGAAAGATGTATCATTGAAAACTCTTGTAGATAAAGGATTTCAAGTGTAAGCAGATGAAAACAATCATTATAATGGATGTTTTTTATTTTTGCATAATGTACTGTCGTGGAGTAGTTTTTGTCAAAATCCAAAGCTTTGGAAGATAGTGAGGGTGACTGACTTGCCAGCTGGCTGACTAATGTATCAATTCCCTGCATGGATAGGTGACTGATTGGTTCACTGACTGGAGGAGGTGACTGATTTGTCTAATGACAGTCTCTGTATGACTGACTGACTGACTGTCTGCCTGATTGTCTGACTGACTTACTAAATGATATGTGAATGGAGTAAGTTTAAACGAAACTGTGGTGCTGCGTCAGTGGGAGAGTAATTAACAGGGTAATTTTAGTATTATCAACTGAGTTGATAATGTAAATTGGCCACCACAGAGTTACTAAGCTGAAGTTGCGAGCATTATTAGCACTTTATCAATTACCTATATTTGTATTTATTGGTAAACTCACAGAGTGGTTGACCATGCATAGGGTACGTTGCCTGATTTTATCTTTTTCATTTGTATTTTTATTTAGGGTAAATGCATTGATGAATCACTTTTACCTGAATTATATTTCTAATGCGAGTGTGTCATGGACTGACATTGCAACAGGAGTGAGTGCTGAATTTTTTTTAATCTTGTTTCATGCTTTTACCATCATAAGAGACATGGAAACTGAGTGGTCTACCCTTTGTAAAAATCTTAGAGGTGATTCACTTGCAGTTTCTCCTTGCTATTCAAACATGTTATCCTGGAAACTGTCTATGACAAGAGACAAGGTCATCAGCAAGGAGGAGACATCTTCATGAAAGAACCAGATTCTCCTGTCGTAGTTATAAGGAAATGTATAGCAGTCAGTTAGGAGAATTTCATGGTAGTTGAAGGGTTTGTACATGTGCGCTTGGCTGCCAGTCAAAAAGACATCCAGTACATCAATTTGTTTTGCTCTCAGCCAAGAAACTCTGTTACACTATCAAATTAAATAGGTGTGTGCCTTTTACCCTTTTCATTAGACCATCAGTATAAATATTCTCCATACTGTCTCTATACATCTCAAACTGGAACTAGCAAAGATAATTTCTTTAACAGACCCCTTAATTTGGTGATCATTTTTTGTATTCTCGTGACTGTGATTTTGTATTCAGGGGGTGATACTGTAATTAGAATTTACATGCTTGTTATGGTAAGGGGTTAAAGAGTTACTGAAAACTAACCAGTGGCAGTATAATTAGCAATTAACAATTAGTTACTTTTTGCGTTTGGAACGTGGGATAGACCCTAAGTATCAATGATGGACTACATACAGAGGAGGATATTGGGGGGTTGTGAACTCTGCAATACGGCAAAAAATTCAGCAAATATAGCAATATCGCAAAAGAAAAATTGCCAAACACTGCTGCAATACTTCAATAACAAGTTGAAACTTGATGTCATGCCAAAGCCACAAACTCTGTGTGTAACACTTAGAGCTCATAAAATAGAAATAACAGTTAAGAATTTTTTTATGAACAATATCTTGTGTAATCATCAACTTCAGCCTGATTCTGAAACAATTTGAAATTGGAAAAGGCTTAGGAAATTGTAGAGGACTAATTTTTAACACTGTCCAAAATGCGAAAAGAACCCCATCCTGCAAGTTTGGAGAATACTGCAGTACTGCCATTCAAGATAAAAATTACGGAAATACTCAAGAAAAATGTTCAAACTCAACAATACCCCTAACCTTAATGCCTTTCTCTATGTGCTGTGCATGTTATTCACAACACTCAACCTGCATGGTATTAATTTTGTTCATGTGACAGTTAAACCCTGACGAACAGACAATGCTCCTTGGTGGCGAAATGGCAATGTGGACAGATGATTACTGCTTTGTGTCCGAGTGTTTTTTGTATAAAAGGGCTAAACCTGTTGCTTGGTGGATGTATGGGCCAGATGCTGATTCCCAGTTTACTGAATCAGTCAGTGGCATCGTAAGTATTGATCATATTATTATTATAGTTACAGTCAGTAAAGAGTTTTTAGAACTGTAAAACAGTCCTTTGTCTATCCAGTGAGTGCAATTTGGTGTAAATACATGAGTACGGATAAATTTTTCAAAGATAAAAAAATTGCACAAGCCCTTAGGGCAGTTGCAATTTGTAGTCTTTGAAAAATTTACAAGTGCTTATTACACCAAATTGCAAGAGAAATCATGTTCTTACTTGTCAATAGTGTACATGTAAAAACATCACAGAAAGTCAGGACAGACAAAATTTTGAAAATTTTTGAACACTATTTGTAAATTGCACCTGTGTTACAATTTTGCACTTCTGTTTCAACTTTGCACTTATGTGTAAAATAAGAATGCACTCAATTTCAGCCAATCAGAGGCATTTAATATTTCATGTTCATTAGTATAGCTTATATATTAGTATTATTTTTAAATTTATGCTATTATAAACTGTTACAGTACTTTAATGTAATACTACATTTGTGTCAGTTAACATCAAGTTCTGCATTCATTTGGTAATCCTACTGAGTGTGATGCTAGTCCATCTTAATTAAATAACCCCCCTACTATTTGTCAAATTTCAAAGTGCACCTCCAACAAAAGGACTTTAAAGTACATGGTAGAACCCTGCTGATTCAAAAAGTAAAAAATTCCAGAGTAAGATAGCAGAAAGTTTTAAGTTAGCTGAGAGGAAAATAATTGAAAGGGAAAAAGCTTTGAGTTCAAGAAGCTGAGACATGCGAGGCAATTGAGTCTGCAAATTAAAGTTCTATGGAATGAGGCTCCAGTGAGCACCATGCGATAAGTGATATGTGTTGGCTACATCATAAAACTATTAGTTACTAAGATCAATTTTAATATTAGTTAAATTGAATATTTGATAATTTTTTCAGATTTGGCCCAGAGCCATTGTTGGTGCTGGCTCCTTTTGGAATTATCAGGCAGACTTGAAACCTGACAGCCCAGAGTTTCAGATGAGAGTGGATAGTCAACACAAGGTCAGGCAATGTTTTTGGCTTTGGGTGTGTGTGTGCATCAGTCACAGAAATCATTTAACCCTTTAACCCCTAAGAGTGACCAGCATCTAATTTCTCTTAACAAAATTACCCTTGAATCAAATGTCAAGGTCATGAGAATAAAGGAAGTGATCACCAACTAAAAAACAACTCTTGATTATTAAACAAATTCTCCTTGTCAGTACCTTGGGAAATGTTTAGTGAATAGAATGGAGAATATTGATACTGATGTCAGGGGTAAAGGGTTAAGGAATAGCCTCATGTAAAGAGACTTTGGAGATTTAATCAATTGAATTAAGTTATTTTCATGTACAAGAAAGGACAATCATTGTTTGCATTGTTCTATGAAATGGGTTTCAATGTTAGACAGAAGCAGGATAGGTCTAAATTTTTTTCATTTTTCATTAAAGTCTGCAGCATTGGGAATCAAATAATTTGTCAGTAAAATTATAATTTTTCTGATTATTTTTTTCATTCCAGAGAATGAGTGAACGTGGCATTCTTACATGTCCTTTGGGATGCAAGTGTGACTATCTTAGCAGGTGTGGACAATCTTATCCACACCCTTAATCTTTTAGTATTGAAATATTGATCGCAATTTACTGTAGAATGTGTCTAAAGCCTGGCACACACCTGGTGATTTTATTCAGCAATGAAAGCGATGGTTGATAATCACAGATGTCTTACATGCTAGATATCAGCAATTTTATATGCCAATTGCAGCAATCACATTTGCCATGTTTGGTAAATAAAATCACTTGGTGGGTTGCTGGCTTAAGGAATGAATAGATAACCTTCTTCAGTCTGTAGTCTAGCACCTTTGCAAATGAATACTGTAGCTGTTAAATCAATTATTTCTATCAAACCATGTAGTTTAACTTTAAGGTAAAAGTCAGCTGGCTTAAGAATTCTAGGAGATCTTAAGGTGTTTTTGGTCTCTTGTTATGAGTTTGATGGAAAGCTTCCAAAGATTAAAATGCATCACCATCTGTGGAAATAAGATTCCCTTTTTAAATTTCTCCTGTTTTGAAGAGCTCTTTCAAAAAGGTGTGTTTTCACTAAAATATTTATGAGGATTGGTGTGGACAGTGGGCCTTTAATAAGCTGAAACTATAGGAGAAAATGCTAATAGATGAATCACTGTACTTCTCTGTTTGAATGTGTATGTCACCAAAGACCTATTTTTGGTCAAGGGTACATTGAGTAACATCAAAGGAGAATTTATATTTTGATGGTAAATTCATCTATGAATAATCAATTGTCATAAGTGTGTGTTTCCTTTTAATGTTGCAAAATCAGAGCCGAGGCTAACTCACAATATTTCATTCAGCTCTTAAGTGTTTTGATTGACTTTAAGCCAGCATGGTACATTAACCAGGCTATTTAAGTTACTAACACTATATTACACTGTAAACTGAGGTATTAATTTACCATTTTAAGAGAGAAATGGGGAGGAAAGTAAAACTTGAGTAAAATAGAAGACTTTTTTTCACCATCCATTACAATTATGGATTAGATTCATGAACAAATTTTCCTTTTCATTTGTATCTAAGTACAGGACTTGAAGTACAGTTTCTAAACCCATAAGTAAGAAAACCCTGCACACCTAAGAACAACTAGTTACACCAGGACTGTGCATAATTGTTCCTTCCCAGTTAAGCAAAGAACTGTTGTAAATGTGACTGTATTTTTGTCTTGAAAACTTCATTAAGGTCTGTAACTGAAACAACTTCACTGAAGAGTGTTTTCCCTTCAAGCCACTCCCAGACTTTCACCATAAGTAATATACAAGGAGTGAACATTGAATAATATGTAATGTGCAGATGTTATTTAATAGCTGTGCTTAATTACCATAATTCAGGATTTATTCTTTAATTGAAATGTTGTTAACTTTAAGTTAAGCTACTAAATTAGTCGTTAAAATAATAATATTGCAAGTACAAATTTTATACCTTATTAAATAGTTAAACTTTAAAAAACACAGAGTTTGTAAATTAAGCCTCATCAACTGAATTATTAAAAATATTGCTTGGTGTTTATTGATATGATATCAAATTGAAACATTAAATCTGCAAAACTACAGGTAATCTTTGTTCAATCCACTCTAGAATGTCTTTCAGGAACATGGCTGCACTTTCTTCCAGTTCATTCAAAATCTCATGACGGCAATCTTTGTATACCTTATAGAATTGGAGAGAAGTATTGCACTATCAGTTAACTAAGATATAACTTTGAACTATCGAATGCTTTTTCGATGTTCAGGTCAGCTAGTGTACATCAATAGACATATCTCATAGCCCCTTAAACTGTTAGAGTGACCAGCATCAAATTTCTCTTAAGAGTAATACTGCTGAATCATTCATTTAGATCATGAGAATAAAGGAGATGATTGCCAACCTAAGAAGCTTTGATTATTAAACAAATTCTCCTTGCCAAGGACATGTACAGAGAACAATATGGAGAGCTAAACATGGGCTAAACATTATTCAGACTTTCTGAAAAGAAGAGTCATTATTCCCTTGATATGAAAGACCCTCAGAATGTTACCTTGAATGTCTTGTCTTTACTTGGAGAATTCTCGTTTAGGAAGATTGAGCTGTCAATCTTTACAAGTTGATCGTCATCACCATGGGCAGCAAAAAATGGCGTCTTAAGGGCAGATATATTTTTCTGAATGTCTTCCATGGTATTTAGAATGGCATTGGTCCATCTCGCTTTTAATCCACCATGCCAGTTAAGTGGGTCATCTGCATATTTTTTAGCCTTAAGGTGATCAAAATCAATCATATTTAGAATATAAAAGTATTAACGATAAACGATACTTCTGATTACAATTAGGATGATCCACATTAATTTAATAATTGAGTAATTCTTGCTGATCTTTAATTCATTTCTTTAGTTACTACTCAGTGAAAAGCATAGATCATATCTGCTAGTTTGAAGCATATTAAATTGTGTACACCCACCTCTTTAGGATCACGACTTAATACTGAAGGATCAATTGGTGGCATAACCTGAAAGGCTGGTGCAATCCATGCTGCTATTTTCCCCAAGAAAACCTGCAGTACAAAATGTAAATGGCATTTAACTCCAGGCTTCTAAATATAAAATAAATCTTAAGACCGACGTTGATCACCAGTCAAACCCATAATGTGTGCCAGTCTATTATTTCACTTAATTTTGACCCAATCATTTTAAAAATGATTGAAAGTGCTGTAAACTAGATATTAATTGTGATGTTGAATACATCTCCTTCAACAAACCATAACAGCCAATTGTTTGAAACATAATCCAAGTTTAGCTGCCATGATAATGCTAGGTTTAAGTACCCACAGTTAATTGAAGCTAAGGAAGGGAAGACCACTTTTTTTTTACAGGTTTGTGAACTGTCTCTTACCAAACAAGCAGTTGCCACAGCTGGATCTGCCTTTACACTTGGTGCACTGAAAATTGCACCTGTAAAGAAATCAGGTCTGTCTAAAACAGACTGAATGGCTATTGTTCCTCCCTGAAAAAAGGAAAAAAATTCAAAATGTAATAATTTGTCCACAGATACAGACAAAATTATTATAAATTCTATCCAAAGAAATAAATCAAAAGCATTATCCAGTGTGCAAGATTTTGCAACCATAACCATTTTAGAACACTCACCATAGAGTGTCCAAAAATAAACACAGGTATTCCAGAGTGGGTTGCTGTAACTTGATCAATGTGTTGAAAGACATCTCTGATATAGCAGTTAAAATTAGAGATTTGGACTCTTTCTCCATCACTATGGCCATGACCAACTTTAAATAAAAAAAAAAAATACAAGAACTTGATGATAACATTTATTTTGACAGGCTTCCCTTTAGCAAAACCAAGATCTGATTGGTAATTCTCCCCTCTAGCTGCTACACATATCTCTTAAATTAGTTATGAGAATTTGGTGCTAGATCAAGACAACAACTTCTACCTGATAAGTTTGAATATTCTTATTAGCTGTTTGGTGGATAATGTAAGGATATTATAGGAAGAAGTTTCATTTTGATCACTTCTGGGAATTAAAGGGTTAATTGTGCATGACTGTTTAGTGTTAACCTGTACAAGTGACTAGCATCTAAGTTCTCCCTACAGAATCACTTCTGAATCAAACATGAAAGTTATGAGATTAGAAAACAACTGATTGCTAAATAACAATTAATGCTCTTGATGTTAAAGAAATTCTTCTCGTCATTACCTTAAGAAATTTGTAGAGAGCAGTATGGAGAATTTGCATACTGCTAAGAAGATGGAAATGGTGAAGACGTTATGATTAAGCTTGCATGCTTCTTTTGTTACTTAAAGTTTCTGTACTCAAAAACGAATTTAGTGATATCGAGCCATCTTTGCTCGATCATGCCTGGTCGAATAAATTTTATGGTAATTACAACAAGAGAAGGAAAGATAATTATCTTGCATATAATTTCACCCCAGAAGAAAATATATATTTCTTACCATGATCGTGAGTGAAAGCCACATAGCCTCGCTCTGCCAAAGCTTTTCCCAGTCTTTCATAACGCGAGCAGTGCTCTCCAACACCATGACAGATGAAAATCAGTGCCCTGTATATAAACAAAAGTACATAGTATTACAATGTTTCTTTTGATTTCGGCTAGTACCAAACGGGAGTGGCCTTCAAGTCGATGATGAAGCTCAGATTCATGACATGTTTCACATCTGTCAGTGTATCTCATTTCCACCGCTAAAGTTCGTGTATTGGTAAACACGACAACATTCATCACGAAAATTGTTGCAAAACCATCGAAAGCCAAAAATAATTTATGGTTATTGTGTTATTTCGGAGACAGCATATCTTTCTCATAATTAACGTAATCCTAAAATTCTATACTGTTTTATTGGTGAATAAATTCGTGAACACCTTTAGTGTGAAATTTGCATATGTAGCACTTGTTGCTTGGATTTATATGCGAACAGAAAGAAATACTTGCGTGCGAAATACTTTCGTGTGGTTGTTCGTTGGAGAATTCATAAAACTCCTTTGCATGCTAAGAGTTTGAGCAATTCACACTTCAAAATAAACTAGTGTGACTGAAATTGCCACGTCGATTCTAAAGTTTGCTTTAAATTAAAAAGTAAGAGGTCATTTCGTGTCAGAGGAAACGCGAAGAGAGAACAGATAGGATAAGGATTAAGGACACTAGAAACTTGTTTAATTTTCCAAACTTTTTCTTTTATTTCTATTTAGTATGGTGCACACATCTAATTAGAAGGCAGAAACTTCTCTTTGACCATTATGCTGCATAGCGAACAAGAGGATCAGACGAGCTAATTGGAACACTTGCTTCAGATCAAAGCTTACAGTAAAACAAATCGTTAAGGTGTTTTTTATCTACCGAAAGTCAAAAGAAAATGACGTTTTTGCTGCGCCACAAAAGATGTTAAGAACTAAAAATCATGATTAGAAACTAATATACAAAATTATTATTTCTAACCTTGGTTTCTTCTCACTTGTTTTCCAATATTTTGCGAAAATTTTTTGTCCATCCGCATTTTTGAAAGAACTCTCCTCAGAAATAACTTGTCCGTTGGCCATTTCTCGCTTTTCTTGGGCAACTAACTTGAACAAAAGATACTACAAGAAAAGCTTCGGGTGAAGCAACCGCAAATCATACTGTAGCTAGCTTAGCAGAGCGTGTGAAACCGCTTAGTGTATACCAAACAACTCATTTATGCGTAAATGCAAATTTTTCGGTTTCTTTATATGCAAACAGATCATACGTCACCTGTAAGCAGTAACACTTTGGCGGGAAAAAAGTAAATGTGCTGCAGGCCTCGATCAGGGGAAGGGAAGAGGAAAAGAAACTCGAAAGATGAAAAGGGGAAAAGAAATTTGCATGAATAAGACAAAATCCATACATGATTTATTTTTTAATATAAGTCCATCTGTAAGAATCTGGAGAAAATCGCATCTAAAATTATTCGGCGTAAACCCCATTTCCGATTTGTCACGTTCTTAGGCGACCAATTAACTAATTCCACCTCATTATATCTAGTCCTCTAAATATTTAGTAAAATCTCTAATGAGCACATTTACTTAGCAACATTTCTTGAAAGAAAATAATGTTTAAATCTTGTTTGAACTACAACCCTCCTGTCCGAGCGTAGCTACTCACTGATGATTCGGGCCAGGCTACTCAGCCTTCCAGGCGAGGTTACTCTGCATCAGTTAGAAGATTAGAGAGACATTTCTTTCAAAACTCATTGCCATTATTCTATTGAAATGCCGGTCGAAAATCTAGAAGAAGAGGGCTTGCCAAAGAATCCAAACCTTGAACTAGCAGCATGGCGCTTTACTTTAACGAATCCAGATGGAAAAAGCAAGGTAGACGCGAAGAAAAGGCTCTTGGAAGCCGTGAAAGAAAATGGTAAGCTCTCTGCTGTTTGATTAATTTTTCTGCCTAGTCATAGGCTGACATGCCATCTACATTTATAGATTTCACACTTCATTTTGATTAATTGTGCCTATGATTTGTTTCTCTTTTCAATTTTACTAAGCTTAATCCAGCCTGAAGGTAGAGATTTCTCGTAAGTTGAAGTCGATATTTGTTACCGCGTGCGGAAACATTAATCCCGATACTAAAAAAGATTAATAATAAGAAGTCTAGACGGTTCACTTTCATTCATAAATAAGATGTCTATTGGACGTTACAAAAGTTAAAGGTGCTCACATTTGATTAAGAAAATGATCAATTCCCACACTGACTACTGAAATTTTCACAGTGCTCGTGAGCTGTAGAAAGTGTGAGTCACTGGGAGCCACTGATTACATGGCTTGTTTAGCCCTTTACACCCTATTGTCATTATGGATATTCTCCATACTGTTCTCTATACATTTTCTAAGGTGCTGAGAAGGAGAATTTGATTACTGATCAAAAGCTTCTTTTGTTAGGCATCATATCCTCCATTCTCATGACCTTAATGTGTGACTCAAGGGTGATATAGTGAGGAGAAATTAGATGCCAATCACTCTTAGGGGTTAGAGGTTAAAGGGTTAAGATCTACACGTACAGTGGATCAAATTGGTTTAAAGTTAAGCAGGTTCTAGTAGGGGTGGTAAATGATACAAGCTGAAGGGCACAATAAACATTAACCCTTTAACTCCCAGAAGTGATTAACATGTAACTTCTCCCTATAATATCCATACATTATCCAGCAAACAGGTAGTGAGAATACTCTCAAACTCATCAGGTACAAGATATCACCTTGATTGAACACCAAATTCTCGTAATTAATTTACAAGGAAATATGTAGCAGGTAGAGGGGAGAATTTACAATCAGATCTTGGGAGTTAAAGGGTTAATCTTCCACATTGCTATACTTAAATGAGACTACAGTCCTATACTGGTGTATATATGTCATTTACTGAGGATTGGAGATCTGTATGGGTAATTAGTCTGCCTTAGTCTTGAGTTTGGCTTATGGCCAAAGATGGAGAGTCACTCTCAAGATTACTGGTACAGTTTTTCCTATACGGATGGACCTAGACTGGGAAATGACTGTTTTTTTTCCAGCTGGTTAGCCTTTTTTGGCACTTCGTTGTGAATGGTTCTACTAACCAATTAGCACCAGGGCTGGCTTTATAATACACATGGTCTCTACATATGTTTGGCTTAATTTTCCAATATTTTTCTCTAGATATGGCTCCATTGTATGAAGAGCTCTGTACAGAGCTTAAATGGGATGTAGACAACTCTCTGCTGGCAACAATGCATTCAAATAATGAGGAAATGGTTAAGAAGCTTGATGAGACACTAAAAGATGCTGAGGAAAACTTGGGAGAAACAGAAATCAGAGATGCTTTATATGCTAAAGCAGAATATCTTTGTAAGATTGGAGATAAGGTACAAGTATGGAAGGAGTTCTTGAACTCATGTTTTTAGTGTCTGAGCAGTATTTAAATGTCTCATTACATTATTGAAGAATTGTTTGGTAAATGTTTGAATGACGCAGTACTTATGATAATAACAACAATAAAGGTTAACCATTTGACCCCTTAGAGTGACTAGCATCCAATTTCTCTCTACAATATCACCCCTGAACCACATATTTAGGTTACAAGAATATGGAAAATGATCACCTATGAAACAAGCTCTTGATTGTTAAACAACTTCTCCTTGTCAGCATCTTAGAAAATGTATAAAGAACAGTTTGGAGAATATGTATACTGATGTTTGGGTGTGAAGGGTTAACCCTTTCACTTCTAGGATCTCATTAGTAATTCTCCTTACTGTCTGATATACAATTCCTATGATGTTAGTTTGGAGAATTTGTTATTGGATCAACTAATAATCCCCTAATTTTCTTCCTTCTTATCACTAGTCTTCTTGACATAGTAATGTGGGTAGGAATTCTCTCTTTGTCACTTATGGAAGTTAAGGGTTAAAAGTGTTTTGAAAATAGAAAACATTAACAGGTTATTGATATTCTATTACACTTGTTAAGTAAGTTGTCACTGATCAAGACATACATATGTGCATGAGTGTACTTTGGAAAAAATCCATTATTAATCATGCATGACATATTTTATCCTTTTAGGAAAAGGCTCTGAGTGTTTTTCGTCTGGCCTATGACAAAGCTGTAGCACTGGGATACAAACTGGACATAATTTTTTACCAGATACGCATTGGTTTGTTTTACTTGGATAATGATCTGATTACTAGGAGTATAGACAAGGCAAAAATGTAAGTGCTAAAAATGTTTCCAGTCACAGATTTAAAAAAAGATTATTTGCAAGAAATACCATAGCCTGTTCCAGGCATTCACATAATCCTTAACCCTTAAGAGTGATTAGTATCTAATTTCTCACTACAGTATCACCCCTGAATCTAACATTAAGGTCATAAGAATAGGGGAAATGATCACCAACTAAAGAAGCTCTTGATTGTTAAACAAATTCTCCTTGTCAGCATGTTAAGAAATGTGTATAGAACAGCATGGAGAATATGCATTCTGATGTAGCACTTGGATACAAACAAACATACATTCTGAGGGTGTAAAGGATTAATAATATGGACCATGATAGCAAAATTAAAGGAATTATATTTGTAGGGGAGTTATTGGGTCAGGGCAAGCAAGGGGAGGTGGTGTGGTTGGTTCCAAGACCTTTATAGCACCTCTTCTCTTTTTCATGTGATTGTCATGATCTGAGTGGTTTTTCTCAACCTTTTGCCTGGCACCTTTCCTTTCTTCTATTAGGTTATGGTCTTTCTTCTTCTTCTTTTTCTTCTCCTCCTCCTCCTCCTCCTCCTCCTCCTCATTATCATTATCATCATTATTAAAATAGGTTAATAGAAGAGGGCGGAGATTGGGATCGACGGAACAGGCTTAAAGTGTACCAAGGAATTTATTTTCTATCCATCCGTGATTTCAAGTCTGCAGCCAGTAATTTCTTGGATAGTATTTCCACATTTACTTCCTATGAACTGATGGACTACAAAACATTTGTCACCTACACTGTTCTCGCAAGTATGATTGCACTAGAACGGGTTGATCTCAGAACAAAGGTGTGTAATATTGTGTTGAAATTTTGCAAGTTCCAGTAACAGTGAATGAAAGTTATGTGCCTTAATTATCTAATGGTCTCTGTAACACAGAGCAGTTTTCATTTGATGACTGAAAATAATTCAAGATTGCATTTGGTTTCTGTTTTTGTTTTGTCTATGATTGGTCAAATAAACTCGCACCTCCAATTGCATAAATCAGATGCATGACTAAAACTAATCATGCTGGAGTTTTAGGCAACAGAACATTTATTAGAACAAAATTTCAAACTTGAAAATACAGTCATGTTACCAAAACTTATGTGTTTGGGAAGTGAATTCCAGTTTGAAGTGGAAAGCTTTTTACATGTTAGCCATTTATTCCACAAGCCTTGTAGAAACATCAGGTTCTGTTAAGAATATTCTCATGGGTAAGAAATTGAATTTAATATAGTTTTTCTCTCTCTCCCAGGTGGTAAATGGTGCAGAAATCCTTGAAGTTCTCCATCAGCTTCCTGTCACCAGCCAGTTCCTCTTGTCCTTTTACAACTGCCACTATGCAGATTTCTTCCTTGCATTGGGTAAGAACAACCTCCATGGTAAAACCACTACTTATAAACAGAGAGTAAACTTATAAATGCTCTTCTCATCCTATTTTGCTGTTACCTAAGTTCAGAGCTCCCATACAGGCTATGATTGTATCAGTCACAAGTCAAAATTGAATTTTCACTTTTATATTTGTGTGTTGCTTTTAATGATGTGACAATGAATTTCCCGATCCTTCACCTTTTATAGCAAAAATTGAGGACTTCTTGAAGCAAGACAGGTTGCTAGCACCACACTGCAGATACTATGTCAGAGAGATGCGAATTCAGGCCTACACACAGCTGCTGGAGTCTTACCGCAGTCTCACATTACAATACATGGCTAATGCCTTTGGAGTTAGTGAGGAGTTTATTGATAGGTAAGTGACATATCACTGTTTTTAAGTTTTTGCCTTGTCTCCAGGCTGTCCTATCCTCTGTTGCTGTGGCTATTTCAGTTTGGGATTTCAGTTCTGCTTTGTCCTTTCTTTGCTACAACTTGTTTGGTAGGTCTTATCCAAGTTAGTGCAATACAGGAAAACCTGGCTTAACTTGAACCCTCATAGACCATTAACTCCAACAAGATCAAGTTTCCCATGAGGATCTGATCTCATATTTCCACTCATTTACTATCAGCTAACTCAAAGTTAGTCAATTCAAACTCTTTGCTAACTCAATCAAGATCCAGTTTCCCTTGGATTTGACCTTATTTTGTTCAGTCATTTACTATTATGGCATATGGTCTCAATAAACCAACTAAATAAGCTATTTTTTGTTAAACAAATTCTCCTTACCAGCACATTAGAAAATATACAGAGAAGGGTAGTGAGAATATGCATTCTGATGTTAGGCTGTAAAGGGTGTACTGAAAAATGATCTTTGATAAACTCTGTTTGATATGCCCCTTCTATGAATTGATTAATTGTTTGATATGGTCTTTTTCTCTTTAGGGAACTTTCACGATTCATCGCAGCAGGGAGATTGAACTGTAAAATTGACAAAGTTGGAGGAGTTGTGGAAACCAATAGGTAAGAAATACTTGACCAGTAAAAATCAAAGCTGAGTTATTGAATGAGTGTTTTCTTATACCTCAGAGAATCTAAAAAAAGGGAGGTTTGTTTTTAGGCACCTTTCACCCTTGAACTCCCATGAGTGACCAAGAGAGAATTTCTCCTTACAATATCAATAAAATATCAAGCAGACAAGTGATGAGAATAAAGAAAAATATCAATCAGGGGATTATTAATTGATCCAATACCAAATTCTCCAAAATAACATCGTAAGAACTGTATAGTAAACAGGAAGGAGAATTACTAACGAGATCTTGGGACTTAAAGGGTTAATCCTGTATTGTTCTCTTGCAACAGAAATTCTAGAAGCTTTATTGGTCTCTTTATTTACTCTGTCCACACAGCATTTAATCTACTACTGAATGTAGTTAAACTTTTGATTATTCCGATTACTTCTCAACTTGCAGCAAGTATGAATGCCTTTTTTTACCAACTTGCTGCACTATCATAATAAAACATGTGGATTTTGAAAAATTTCCTTCTGAAATATTCATGAGGCTGCTCTAATTAGAATACATAATGTACTATGGCAATTTTACAAGTAAATTAATAACTTTGATTTGTCAATTTTGCAGGCCTGATCATAAGAATTGGCAGTATCAGGTTTGTGTTGAGTAGAACTGTAATAAAAATTTATTATTTTGAGGTTGATATGGCTGAGGGACTTAGCCTTTTGATCACTTCTGTGATTGAGGGAGTTCTCAGGGTATCAGCGACCTACAACCATATGTCAAGTTGCTAATGGGCGCAGTGTACCATCACTGCTTTCCATAGAGCTACTTGTTGTCAATACTTTTTTCAACATCATTCACTACTTAATTTGTATTCTTTGTTTTGTTGATGAAAGTAAAATTTAACTCCAACTGAAATATGTTCTGTTTTTCTTCCCAGGCCACCATAAAACAGGGGGATCTTCTCCTAAACAGAATCCAGAAACTCAGCCGTGTCATAAACATGTAACAACAGTCATGAACCATTTCAACTTTTTTTTAGTAATAACAAACCTTTTCCCTCCTACTGAAGATCGATGTAAGGTTACAAAATATAGTTATTTAAAATGCTTTTTTGTAAACAGTACCATTTTGGTTTAGACAAAAAATGTCTCTGACAGAAAATAAAGATGTCCTTTGGATGAAATAACATTCAGATCCCAAGTCAAATCATGTGCCTTTATTGTTTCCTAATATTTTTTACCTAATGTGTAGTTAAATCTAGTGTCAGATATCCGACTCTCTGTGGATGCAATTTAACATAACCATACTGTAGATCTTTTGGAGGAGAGGGAGGTGGAGGAAGGGGGGAGCTATGAACAAAAACGTTTCTTTACAATGCATGGGGACTAGCCCTTGAACAATCCCCAGCTTGGAGTCAGGCAGGCCCCCTGCTGATACCAATTTTGTGCTGAAAGGTCTGCCCTTCCTAAATAAAGATGACTTGACTTGACAGCTGTGCAATAAAATATGGCATAACGGCATGAAAGTTATGCAAAAGGGCTCTAGTGTTATTCAGGGTTTGTATGGGTCCTAAAAAACCTGGAAAGTCCTGGAATTTTATTTTGACATTTTCCAGGACTGGAAAGTCCAGTAAAAAGACTTCAGGTCCTGGAAAGTCATGGAAATCTGCTTAACTCAAGCAATTAAGTTTTCAGAATTTATCAGTGTAAGAAATGAATGTACATGTAGACTGTAAGGAGAATTCCTTTTGAAATCTTGGAAGTGAGAGGGTTTAAGGTGAAATTTTAAGTCCTGGAAAAAATTAATCTGCATCTTGGAAAAGTCCTTAAAATTTACTTCTGAAAAAGGGTACAGATCCTGCATATTGCAGTGTTTTGTGACCTATTTCTTGTTATTTTGATGTGGGGCCTCTTGAATAGAATTTCTAGGAAGTATGGTGAATTTTGAGCCATGTTGTCAGGTAAAGGAAAATATTTGATTTATCTGTTTGTCATCAGCAAGGGAAGAGGAAAAATCTAACTTCCCCAATTGGAGCTGAACCCTAGGAGTTCTGATTCTGTGTACTTGATCTCTAACATGATACTTAACAGGTTGGCTCAGCATATTAGGCACTGAACGTGATATTCAATTCTTTGACAACTTTATTTCCACTAACAAAGTTTAAAATAATGTCTGTGCATAGATTTTGTCTGTGTTGGTCTGTATAAAGATCTCTTGTTTAAAAAAATGTACAGAATGGTCAAAGATACATCTCTTTGCTATTCTAGTTCAAAAGTAGTATTCTAAACTTCACCCTTTCACTCCTATGAGTGATCAGGACAGAATTTCTCCCTACAATATCAATACAATATCAACCAGTTAGGTGATGAGAATAAAGGAAAATATCAATATGGGGATAATAAGCTGATCCAATACTAAATTCTCTGAACTAACATAAGAATTGTGAGGCTGACAGTAAGGAGAATTACAAATTTGATCTGGGAATTAAAAGGTTAAACGTTTGCAGTTACTGAATACAAATCCCTAACTTTTCAGAGCAGGCTTTCAAAATACAAATCCCTGCTGTGGTAAATTCACCACTGATCTACTTAAAACTTCATCTTAAATTTATTAACTATGACCAAACAGAAGAACAAAACTATCAAAAAACATTTTGATTTATCTTCCATATGTCATGGATTTTGACCTAAGCTTTGTTTCTTCAATCTCAATCAGCCAAAATATTGTTTATATTATCCAGCTAAGATGTCAAAGACTAAACAGGAGAGTTGAATTTCTCAAATTTCACCTATTGTCCAAGGCAAAAAGTTACACTTTGACATAATTGTATAGAAATACTAGTAATTCTTTTTTTTTTAAGAGCAAATGACTAAATCAGGGCCCCGTTGTTCAAAGGCTGATTAGCACTCACCCAGGGTTAAATTTTAATCAAGGTTTCTATATTTCTCTGTTCAAAAACCATTTTGGAATAATTTTACCCATTGTTTTTAGAGCATTCAATTATCAAATTGTAGTCAAAAAGAATTAAACTGAATTTGCTCTTCAAGCTTTCAGATCTGAAATAAAATTTCACTCTAACCCCAGGTTATCTTAACCCAGCTTTGAACAACTCAGCCCATAGTACAACACTAAATGCAACTAAAAGTTAAGTGTGAAGAAAAGGATAGAAGCAGTTCCACATAAAAATTGACAGATCCATCACAAAAAAGTCAGAAATTTTCAAAGTACGTACACATCGCAAAGCAAGCATTAGTAATACAATAAATTGTTTTTCACCTTGACTAACCCTACAATTTACTAGAGATTAATGATTACCATAAAGAAGCATTGTCCAAAATCTTTCACTTGCTTCAGCTAATCACACACTAAGAAATTAGAATTGTCACAGTGGTAAATGGTGTAATGCATTATTGATAATGGTTTGGCAACACTTTTTAAAAGTTCATTCTCAGGAGCACAACTTCATTGCTAGGAAGAAAATTTCTTAGAAAAATTATTTAATATTCGATTACTTTTATTACCACATCACAGTTTTATTGTACACAAATATTAAAAATTTGAGAAGTAGAAAGAGATGCAACGTATTGAATTGTAAGTTTCCAAAAATAAATAGCTTATTTTGTTGATTAGATGTTTGGAAATTCGCACATTTGAATTTCTCCTTAAGTTGTAGCATTTATTATTTTTTGTGATAGTACACATTTGCACATATACACAGCAAAATAGTTGTAAATGAGTTGAAGTAGATTAGCTTTCGAAACTTTGGATCAACATCTCCTTGTCTGTACCAATAAATCTGTAAGATAATCGTAGTAACAATAATTAAGTAAGTCTTAATGTCTCAATTCTGATAAGTTTAAGCTTGTGGCAAACTCTCTGAATGGTTCCAATTCATACCTACAGCTGATAATGTTTATGTATAATTTTTTGCTGTGGAAGTTTTGTCATCTAAATTTACTATCAGTTGTTTCACAGTAATTTTAATAATAGTTGAATTCCTTTATGGCAAAGGTTATTAGTTAGCTACATGCAAGACAACTCAAACTACAGTCTTGATAGTTCTTGCTATAATTAAGAAATGGAAAACAGTGAGTGTTTATTGCAAACTAATACAGCAGATTAGGGCTACAAAGAGAGAATTTTGCACAATTAAGGTGAATAATAATAATAATAATAAAAATAATAATTATAGGACATTTATAATGCACAAATTCCATAAAATGTTCAAATGCACATGACAAGATTAAAAACAAAATAAAAAAGGCTAAAAAGCTAAAATTACAATTAAGAGTAAATTTACAATGAATCATATATAAATGAATTTTTTTCTTCTCAGACTAAGGCCAGGAGAAAAAGTAACAGCCTGGTGCACTTTTAGGTGACTTACCAGAGTGAGTTCTGATATGCATATCATTGAGATAATAGAAGCAAGGAAGACATTGATTGCTTTGGATGGAATTGCGGGAACACCAAAGAGCTTATCAAGGTCTCCTGCAAAAGATGGATTTGTTACTATTTTACCAAATTTTCTCCATTAGTACAAAGTACTGCTACCAGTAAGTAATAAAAGTTTGAGAAGAAATAAGATAGGTTTTTCACCCTTAAACCCCTTAGGATGACTAGCAACTAATTCTCCACACAATGTCACCCCTGAATCACTGATACAGAAGCTCTTGATTGTTAAACAAATTCTCCTGGTCACCACCTCAGGAAATGTAAAGAGAACAGTGAAGAGAATATTCATACTGATGTTAGGGTGTAAAGGGTCTTAGTAACTAATAATTTAGTGTATTTGTCATGGAGTATGGTCATGTAAGAGAGGAATGTCCTTAAGGGGATTGCTTTTAGTGACCTTGACCAGATTAGACTGGAGATCCATCAACGAAGAGGTTGCAAATTTCATACATACTGATAAGTACGTGTCACAAAGTGAGCACTATACTGTGATTTGCCTTTTACCAGGACTAACCCTAACAGTTACTGGATATTGATGATTAGCACAGAGAGAAGCAAAGTCCAAAAAGCTCACTTTCCTCAATTAATCAAAGACTTTGGTTGCTTTACATTTTCAATAATTCATTCAGTCAAGAAGTATAATTGGGAACTCACAAAACTGTCAGCAGTGTGTCCTAACCAAATGATTCAGGAGAGAGAGGAGGGGGTGGGGCTGGTTACTAACATCTCATATAGAAAGAGTATAAACTGGGGACATCTCCACGATTTTTGCAACAATGACTAAAAAAAAGTCCCGTGACTCATGAGTCAAAGCGCAACAATGATCCATGAATGATGTCACGATTGATAAATAATTATTTATACTTACACAGACTAATATGACCGTGACTGCTCCGACGACATAATTAAAGTAGCGATCCTATCGAAAAAAAATCGAAAATTGTCAGAAGTAGAAAAAGCAAAACTTGAAAAAAATTCATTGACCTTAAGTTTGTTTAATTTTTTCGGAAAATGATATTTACACGAAATTTGCCAAAATAATCAATAGATCATATGAAATGTTGCAAAATTGATGACACGTAGCAACTTGCTTCATCGATCAACGATCAGTTGTATTTTTGAACTAAAACAAAAATTAAAAGTTCGAGGTTTGGTGTTGAAAAACTGTTCAAATCGTTGGTAATCAGATCGTTTTCCATTTACTATTTTAAACAACTCGTGATTATAACTTAAGTAACGACTTGATCACCCTAAGCTATAGGACAGAAAACCTCTTCAACCCGATAATTTTACCTACCCTTGGTCTTGCCTCGCCAAATAACGGCTTATCCAATCCATTATACATTTTTGCTATAAAATTCCCTTCATCGTAAAGTCAACGTTAATAAAATAGTTTCTTGGAAAGTTCGAGATATCTTTGATTGATTCTGAGCGAACTCCTGTCGATTTCACAGAACTTGAGCTCTCTCCGTCACCAGAAATTGTTCAAAATCTCTGTTCCCTTCTCCAAGTTTAGGGCTGAGTATCAGCAAAACTAAACGTGTGATAACTGGCTCTATGTGTCGATTGGATTGGTGGTAATTAATCGATGTCGTAAACCACCGAATACGATCAGGATCTAGCCTACTTTTCTCCGTAGCTTTACTAGGAAAGCGCCCGCGATGCCGGAAGTACGTCATATAGCTGGCTCATTAAAAACGCATGCTCGTAGCTTAGTTCCTTCGAAATCCAACATGGCGGCCTTACCCCGTTATGGAACCATGTCCACAATTTGCAGAAAGTGTGTAGGGCTAACTAACAGATTTTGGCTTCGATCTTCGCAGGTGAGTGTGAATTTATTCTTTTAATTTAACTGTACCTCCACTAATGACTTAGTTGTCAAATAGCGTAAAATATTTTTGTTGTTTGAGGTAAAGGTATTTTATTTGCATATATGCGCGCGAGGCAACTTTCTTGGATGTGATATTGAGGGCTCGCTTTCAATTTCAATTCGTCTTGTAACTTGTTAGATCAGACTAACTAAGTAAGGGTCTCTATCCGCTTTATACTGAATTTGTTTTCAATAGAGTTACTAGAATGGGGTTGCACATCTTTGGGATTTTGGGGTCAAGAAAGTTCTAGTAAGTAGGGATTTAAAAATTCGATGATTTGCTGTTAAAAAATTGTCATTGTTTTACCAAAAGTGACTAAAATGGGATCTTCAACTGGCTACAGAGTAGATAGAATTGGGAGTTTTGAGAGGCCAGCAGCACACACCCAGCAAAAATTGACCCTAGTACCTCCCCCCTCCCCCCTCCTTCCCTCTCTGGGTGTCATAATCAGAAGTACTGGGCTATGTGATGTAGTCAAAATAAAATGGAGGGAGTCAGAGGCAGATGCTTATGGTCTGGTGAAAACTAAATTGTTAGAGTCTGATGCACTTGTGGGACCTGAATTTTTTGCCTGTACTTCAGATTGTGACTATGAGAAGGAAAGATGTGAGATCTTGAAGAGTTCCTTGACTCTCTCTTCAGAGCACTTTTCCTTATAAGGTTAAAGGAGTTCTCAGTTCTCTTTTTGAGATTGTAATAATCTGGCTCAAGCAAAATGAGGACCATTAACATTTCCAGATTTAGACTGTATTGATGGCTGATTGATGTGTTTTGTTTTGTTTGGATGCATTTCCTCATGTGTGCCCTTTATGCAGTCTAGTTAATTGGGGGATTATTAGTTGATCCAATACCGAATTCTCCAAACTAACATCACAAGAACTATATGGCAGACAGTGGGGAGAATTATTTTTGCAGTGTAGTTAGATCTTGTTTTTATTTCCAGGCCAGTGCAGTTAGTATTACTCCAGTCAGATGGCTGAATCTCCAAGAATACCAGAGCAAAAAATTAATGGCAGACAATGGTCTTCATGTGCAGCAATTTAAAGTGGCAGAAAGTGGTAAAGAGGCAGTTGCAATTGCCAAGGAACTGAGTAAGTTGGTGGTGAAGAAAATTACATTATAAATAACAAATAGGTACCATATTTCAGTGTGTCAGTTCAGTAATAGATCATAGATGACATCAAAATGAGGTGAGAACCAAAAAGTGGCACAGAAGTGCTGCCAAGTGTGTCACTAATATTCCTACCACATTTTCCACGTCTGCAGTGATCTGTAACTGAACAGACTCATGACAACATGGAATCTAATTTTTTTATGTAATAAAGAAGCCAAAATATGTTGATGGTGACACCATCTAAGCATCTGTTCTCCAATAGATCATAGGTATGAACCAATCAAAATATGTGTATCATCGCAAGTATTATATACCAGTAATCATAATTTAATAGGGTTCGTCTTAACATAAAAGTGGTTTTGATGCCAGTCCATGATTAAGGTGCAAATCTGTGTCACTACATGTGGGTGTATATCACTGAAAATATCAGAAGACACATTTTTTAAGTGTCTGAAACTCATGTATGGTTACAGTGCTATCAAGGTATCCAGTTAACCCTTCCACTCTTAGGGGTGATCAATAAGTTGTTTCTCCTTACAGTATCGGTAGGCTACTTTGCGAATCATGCAGAAAGACAGATAATAAATAATTTTGACTGATTCTAACATCAATGTCTGGCTTAAAAAAAGATTTTCAAATATGCCCAAGAATGTTGGAAATCATAACTCTGGGAGTTTAAAAGTTCAAATTTTCCAGGAGAGCATTCCTCACAACCCCCATAGAAGAGTGACTGTGTTGTTTTGCGACATGCCTTACTCACTAGGCAAGCATAATTTAGTTCATCCACCTCTAAGTTCAGGTCGTATACCTCCTAAACTTTCTAATGACAGCCCTGATATTTAGATAGTACAGCTACCATTAACAATATTGTTATCTTGTAGATGCTAAAGAATTTGTACTAAAAGCACAAATCCTTGCTGGTGGAAGAGGCAAGGGAACATTCACTAGTGGCCTTCAAGGAGGTGTTCATTTGACATCAGAGTAAGTCAGTGTTTACCAAATTGCATTGTTTCTCATGAGGTATACTTGTATTGAAAGCATTTTTGTTCTTTGGTAAGGTTAAAATAATGAAAATTTAATTCATAACCATATAGTTTACTTATTTTAAAATTTATCTCTTGTGTTTTACTCAAGAACACAACAATAAGGCACCAGGGCTTATAATAACCTTTTTCACCCTAATACTAGTCTGTCTGCTGACAAGGAGAATTTGTTTAACAATCATGAGCTTCTTAAGTTGGTCATCATTATGTTCATTCTCACAACCTTAATGTCTGATTCAGGGGAGATATTGTTAGGAGAAATTAGATATTAGTCACTGTTTGTTGTCTTAAGGTTAAATTCCAACCTCTCCATCATTACATGCCACTAATTTCTCACTTTGGGGTACTTTATTTAAAATTTTTTGTTACTGATTTATTTTACTCATTTTTGTATTCAGTCCAGAAAAAATTGGTGAATTGACAGACCAGATGGTGGGATACAACTTAACAACAAAACAAACACCTCCTGATGGAGTGCTTGTGCAAAAGGTAATCAATGACAGTATCAGGATCTAATCTTTTCTTGTATGTTGATGTTATTGCAATGTCAAGGTAGGTTAAGTCTGGGTACTAGACAATTATGAATAGATATTCTTATATGTGGTGTATGACGTATGAAGTCACGCTGTCTTGCCTGTCAGTCTCATATTTATGTAACAGGTGTGTTGTTGGGGATTGTTTTGGCTACACAGCCGAGTTTTCTTATATTGTAGGGTCAGTGAATAAATCTCTGCTGAGTTTTGGACATGGAACAATGCTATACACTACACTATATGCAACATCTCTTTTTCTTAAAAACTTATTATCTTGTTTACTTTGGTTACATTTTGTTTAAATATTCCATATACGAGTGTTACTTCATCTTTCAGATTTAAATTGGTTGTGGTTCAACTTAAGAGTCAGAGGAAACCCCAAAAAATATTTTTTGTGTGCTTATTGTCCCCATTTTTGGCGCATTTGAGTGATCAGTCTCTGGCGTTATGACGACCAGTAACTTTCATTGTTTATATCAATAATTATTGACTAGATATAGGTGCTCTGATGTAGAGTATTTCCTTTGTGTCTTTAACCCTTTCACTCCCAAGATCTCATTAGCAATTCTCCTTACTATCTGTCATACAACTCTTATGATGTTAGTTTGGAGAATGTAGTATTAGATCTACTAGTAATCCCCTAAGGGATACTTATTCTTTATTCTCATTACTTTTATGCTTGACATCATCTTGATATTGTAAGGAGAAATTCTGTTTTGATCACTTATGGGAGTCGCAAGGTTAAAAGAAACAGCCAATGATTTCACAAGTCAGTTATGAGGATATAAAAATATATTGTATTTTCTGTTTTTTTGGCAGGTAATGGTAGCAGAGAGTTATGACATTTCACGTGAGACCTATTTGGCCATTTTAATGGACAGAGGTTATCAAGGACCTGTTATTGTGGGAAGTCCTAAAGGTGGTGTAGATATCGAGGAAGTCGCAGAAAAAACACCTGAACACATACACAAGGTAACTTTGACCATTCTGACTCAAAAACCTGATCAGCGTTAATCTTACATTAGAGGACTCGTCGATTGACTTTCCGTGAAAACAAAACCAAAGGAGGTATTGGCATTTTCGATTTTGCGGTTTTGGCTATTTATAAGATCGGTTTTCCGTTTTTTTTTTTTGCCAAGAAACGTCGGTTTTTTCGGTTTTGGTTTTCATTGTAATTTGCGGATTTTCCGTTTTTCAGCATTTGGTTCTCCGTTTTGTTAAAAAACACTGATGGGTGTTCGGATTTGGTATCTGATGTGGTTTTGGTTTTTCCTATTTCCGGTTTCTTCTCGATCTGAGCGGCAATAAGGCGCCTCCACTAATCTCGAATAGCCGCGAAAATCTCTGTTTGCTCCACTTGTCACTGGCTGTATCGGATCGATTTGGGTTTCAGTTAACTGGGATGTGAAAATTTATCGGTTTTGACGATTTTTGCCTACGCTTTTCGGTTTTAATCAATGAGAAGAAAGGAAAATACCTTGAATAACTAATGAGAACTCAAAGTAAAACCAACCACACAGCCAACCAAGCGCGTGAAGACGCGGGCAACCAAGTTGCGATTGGTATAAGTTTCGCATCTGATTGGTTGAGAGAGTGGGGCGAGTTTTCCGCAAATAAAGCAAATCCAATGCAATCTATATCGTGCAAGACGTCGTGAATATTGTCTCGACTTTTTTCATTTACAGGTTGCTGTTGACATCTTTAAGGGGATCACTGACGAAGATGCAAGATACCTTGCGGAGAAATTAGAATTTCAAGGACCTTTGTTAGAAGAAGTAGGTTAATTGGACAGAAATTCATGTACATGTAAAAATTAACTCGTAACGAATGGTCCCCTGCAAAACAGGTAATTGCGTTTCCCAAGAATCGTAATGTTTCCTGAGACGGAGCCGATTTAAGTGACATTTGATACATGGCACAACAAAGACACTAGAGCACGCAATGTTAAAACAAATAGCACATTTTTAAAAAAAGAGCGCTTTTTGATTGAGTGTCGGGAAACGCGAGTGACCAAGTCGTGATTGGATTTATTGTACAAAGTACATTGCACAACCTCATTTGGAGTAGAGAAAGTCTTGTGCATTTTGATTTTAATGAGCAATTTTTTATTACTAATTTGGTTTGCGTCTTACAGGCCGCAGAACAGATAAAGAAACTTTATGAGCTGTTTCTTAAAGTCGATGCAACACAAGTAGAAATCAATCCTTTTGGTGAAACACCTGACGGAAAAGGTTTGCAAAACTTTCGTGCAAAAATGCTGTTTTACTTGGAAATTATGGAGGATGGTGTTTTACTTAATATTGTATGTTAAAAGAACATTTTATTTCAAACTGTTTCAGTTGTTTGCTTTGACGCTAAGTTCAACTTTGACGACAGTGCCAAGTTCCGACAGCAGGAAGTGTTTGCAATGGATGATCAGAGTGAAAGCGACCCACGAGAGGTGGAGGCTGGAAAGTATGACCTGAATTATATTGGCCTGGATGGAAACATTGCCTGTCTTGGTGAGGACGATAGCATAGAGTACAAATATCCTGCGATATGTGCGGTTGTTTGGACAGTTGGTTATTTTGTACTGTAAAAAACCTGTTTGACCAGTCGGCTGCGCGCTATACGCTTCTCTATCCGCTTTGCTTTTCCCGCCTTATGAGAAATAAACAGAAAGACTTAGCAGAAAAAAAAGCAGGTGGATAATAAATAACTTATCAGACGTTTTGGTGTGTAGTATCGCTGAGTATTTTTACTCGTTGTTTGTATTTTGTTGTTCGTATGAAAATGCGGCAAAACTCGTAAGAGTACTCAGCGATAGTACGCACCAAAACGTCTAATAAGATACACTTATTTCCTAGTGAATGGCGCCGGGTTAGCGATGGCAACTATGGACATCATCAAACTTCACGGGGGTACCCCAGCGAACTTCTTAGATCTTGGGGGTGGAGTGAAGGAGGAAGGAGTCTTTCAAGCTTTCAACATTGTAACAAAGGACCCTAGAGTGAGTAACGATTTTGATGCCCTCGTTTTCTTTAGTTTTTTTGCATTGTTATTGTTCTTTTGTTACACACAAACTCCGATAGCAGTCACGGCGCTCAATCCAGAAGCATTTACAGTTATTTTGGGATCTGTTTCTCTTTTAAGGTAAAATCTATTTTGGTGAATATATTTGGCGGCATCGTCAACTGTGCCACCGTAGCAGATGGAATCACTTCAGCGTACAAAAAACTCAAGGTTAATGTTCCTGTAGTGGTGCGTTTAGAAGGTAGGTTGTTGATAATTTTAATGTGACGCGTGAACACTGTAATTAATTTGAGTTAAAGACTACTTCAAACATTTTCATCGGGAACACTGCCGCAGATAGTTTTCCCGCCTTCTCTGTCAGCCAGTGGAACCACGCCACTGTCTGATTGTGTGCATGTGGCTGTTAGACTATTCGGATTATGATGGGTCAAATATCATGTAGCATAGAAAACCGTGCGGCAGGTTTCCTGCCCTTTTAAGCTTCTCTATGGTGTCATGCTTCTTGCTATTTGGTCAGCAGACTGAAAGTCGTATTCTGATTGGCAAGTCCTCTCGCCTTCACTGTTAGTCGGTGGTGCCACGCTTCACTCTCATAGGTTAGCTGGCAAAGAGTCACATTTTGATTGGTCATATTTCTTCTGTCGTTTAACGAAGGCGCAGTTTTCCCGCCATTTTAGGTTGTTGTGCCGCCTTCTTCCTGGTTGAGTTGCTGACTACAAGTTTGCATTCTGACAGGTCAAATGTCAAATGTATGGTATGGGACAATTCTCACTAACTGTTCTTCGTGTTAATATAAAGGTACAAATGTGGAAGAGGCCAAAAGAATTCTCAGAGATAGTGGAATGCCGCTGATCCCAGCAGATGATATGGATGACGCGGCCCAAAAAGCAGTCACAAGTCTTACGAACTAACGTCTGTTTTTGGACCATCTAGTTAGTTACCAATCCTTTAACCTCTTGCGCTAAAATCGCAGGGTCCTCGATCGATGGGTGGATGTTAGTCGCGCGCAAGAAGGCCTAAATGATTAAAAAAAATTGAGGACAGACTCTATGGTCAGAGTATGAACGTTGTGCCTGGTACATTGTTTGTGAATAATACATGGCTTGGATTAGAACTTTGAAATGTAATGGCTGAATTTTACGAGTATCGTTTACTTCCGGGAGTTCACACAATGAGACTTAAGTAATTTGATAGGCCTTTTTATCATAAAAATGAAGCATAAATTTTTTAGGTTTGTCATAGTTGTGTTAATTCTTCGCCATTTTTGGCCTCCCTTGTCCTTTTCCAGTTTATTCTTCCTTTGCTGTGTTTGTCTACTTTATCACGCGGTCATTTTGAAGTTAAGGCAATTTTTGATAATGCTAAAATGACTCCACCCTGCGTAGCTGGCGCTTTTGTGAGCCGAGAAAATTAGCAGTGAAGCTGCGGAGAATTGGAGCTTGAACCTCGCTGCACATTTACCAGGACAGTTCAGCAGAGCTACAACATTGCACTTTGAGCCAATTTGGGTTCACACGATCAGTGAAAGTATATCAACCCTAACATCAGAATGTATATTATCCATACCTTTTTCGATACCTTTCCGTGGGAGAAAGGAGAAAACGTGCTTGGGCGAGTCCAAAAGATTAGACTTACCGGAGAGGACGTGAAAAAAAAAAAAGAAAAACAAATTAAAAAATTACGGCTACTGCTAAACCTTGCTCCATGAAATAAGAACATCATTCCCCCCCCCCTCCTCCACTCCTTTCGTGCTTCGTCAGGAGAGGCAGACGTGGCAGAACTCATTCAACGCATTAAGGAGGGAGAGTGTTGCGTGACTACCTTTACAGCGGTCACGAGAAAAACAAAAGAAGGAGGGTACGTAAGTGTTGCGCAACAGTGCACACGTTACATATATCTTTTACTGACGTAATATACAATAGGGGCATCTGAAAAGTCGTCGGTGACATCCGGAAAGGCGCCAAGAAGAATTCTATTCACGTTTCGTAACTAAACAATAGTGTTGTGAGGCCGAAATGTAAGTTACACTCAGTCACTAATTAAAAAGTTAAGCAATTTTCCAAAAGCTTTGACTAGCACCATATTATTCATTGTGAAATTAATCAACGGAGGCATTGGGAAGGCATCGATGACACCGGGAAAGGCATCAACGAGAATGATATTTACGTTATGTAACTACTTGTGTATTTACGTTATGTAACTTGTTGTGTATTTACGTTATGTAACTTGTTGTGCACTTTTGAAAATTGCTTAACATTTTATTTGACGGAGTGTACTGTTCAGCGATACAACACGTTTGTTTTCTGCAACTACCAATGATCTATCTGTATCAGTGAAGCATTAAAGTTGTTTCACTGCTGACTACTCAATCGTATTTCGGTCTTTTTTCCTTCCTCCGCTCGTCGCCAGTGATGTAGTATCACCCCGACGATGTCGGAACATTTCACAGTCATTCAAGAAAAGGAAGGAGAGTTCTTTGCACCACGACAAGCTTTGATTCATGGCGTACGATTATCATTTTATGTGCCCAACATTGATAAAGACTTTGAGAGGGACTTGAGTCGTTTTGAAACCCGATCAGAGGATATTTATGTGGTTAGTTTTCCAAAATCAGGTAAGGCTATAGATCGAGATTGGATCACGTTAATTGTGGCAAGTTTAACGCGGTAAAATCTCTACGCAGCCAACAATTATGCATGCAATCTTTCGCAGTCATGGGTGAGAAGCTCGCATATGTTTAAAACTTAGCGAAGAAATGCGTACAACGAAAACCAATTTCCGTTACTGACCAAATAAGTGCGTGAAACTGACAACAGTCGCAGCCATATTAAGTTTCTCAGGAGGGGTAAGTTTCTATAGAAATTTTAGTGCTACGTCAGTGAGGGGTATAACAGAATAATTTGGTTTTATCAACTGAGTTCATAATGTCGATTGGCCATCGTAAAGAGTTTATAGAGCTGCCGTTTCGAAAGTTAGCCCTTCGCTCGAACGAGGGAATCAGCTTTACGATTAACTAGACCCTGTGAGCGGGGTAAATGGGATACCTGGATGGTACTGGATCCTTGGAATCAAGTGTAGTGATACTACGGGTGTCGGATTAGTATACTGAAGTAGTGCGCTCAAGTCTGGCCAAGGGCATACACCTATTTCAAAACATAGGCATGCTATGCATGCAAGAGTTACTTTTTTGTAGGGCGGGTGGATTACTTGAAACATTGTGAGTGATGTCTACATTCTTACAAAAGGAGAATCGGAATACTGATTACACTGTCAAAAATTCCTGCGAATTTGAGGATTTCATAAGAGATAAGACTCTTAACGCTTGTGAAGAATTAGTATCTTTCGACGTTGTTTCGCTCTTCGCTAAAATCCCAGTTGATCTTGCCGTTAAGGTTGCGGAGGAGAGACTCAGAGAAGATGCTTCCCTAGGACAAAGAACTTCTTTGCCTGTGGAGGATATTATTCATCTGCTGTCTTTTTGCCTCGAAACCACGCTATTTGCATATAACGACACCTACTATCAACAAGTTTTTGGTACAGCTATGGGTTCGCCCGTCTCTGCTGTCATTGCCAACCTGGTAATGGAGACTTGGAACAAAGGGCCTTAGCCACTTCGCCGGTTAAACCCTTTTTCTGGAAACGATATGTCGATGATGTTATTTCTGCGGTATTCGGAATTGAAGCGGAGCGCCTCCTATCGCATTTTAATTCAGTAGAGCCGTCGATCCAATCCACCCTCGAGCGTGATAAGGATAGACATTTGCCCTTTCTTGATTTAAATGTGTCCAGAGGGGCTCAGGGTAATTTAGAGACAAGTGTCTACTGTAAACCTACCTACACCGACAAATACCTCGCTTTCGATTCTCACCACCCTATTTGCCATAAAAAGTCTGTAGCCAAAACTTTACTCAGGAGGGCTAACTGTTTACCATCTTCACTCGATTCGAAGGCTGAGGGGAGAAAATATGTTTCTTATGCCCTAAAGGCAAATGGCTATAGAAAAGCCTTTCTCCGTAACTGCCAAAAACCAGTTACAACTAGTAACTCTCTTGATTAAAGGGAACCAGCAACTGGTTTTGCTGTTATTCCTTACATTCAGGGTGTTACGGAACCCATCAAGAGAATTTTGAAAAGCCACAACGTTAAAGTTGTTCAAAAACCTTTCTAGACTTTGGGGCATATTTGCGCCAAACCTAAGAATCCTGTCACGAAAGAACAACGAACCGACGTCATTTATATTGTTCCTTGCAATGACTGTGACAACGAATACATCGGAGAGGTCAAACGTCAGTTTGGTACACGTTTGAAAGAGCATCAAAAAGCGGTTATCTTTTGCAAAAAGGAAAATTCAGCTTTATCGGAGCACACATGGCTAACCAACGATACAATTTGGTGGGATAATTCTAAAATTATCACCACTAATCGGCGTTACCACTAGCGCCTTTGTTTGGAGGCCTTTAAATCGTGTCGATAGCGGCTTGCTTCCTGACGCCTATTTACACCTCGTCAGTTAAAAAGGCAGCTAATTAGCGATCATAGAAAAGAACCTCTTGTTGGAGCGTTTAGATCCCCCCTGATGAAGGCACTAGACAGGAGTGTCGAAACGTTGGGTCTATGGATTGTAACTTCTTCGCTTACATTCATTAAATCTGTAAACCAGAGAAGCATCAAACCATGTTGTACTGTTTAGCCGTTTTAAACCACGTGACCTCATAGCTTAAAAGGTCCATAGGAGAGCACGTAAAGCAGCGTAATTTTTACAGCAACCAAATCACTCCGTATAATTGACAGAGTAGCTCATGTTTACAACTGACCAAATTAGTGCGTGCAAGGAATGCAAACTGCGGACAACAAGATCTATCCTTTCCTTTTTTTCAGGAACAACCTGGGTGCAAGAAATTGTCTGGCAAATACTCAACGATGGAAAAATCAGCGAAGAAAGGGTGGAAAGTCGCTATTCCTTTTTGGAAACAAGTCAGCTCTTCGATAGGCCCGGAGACGAGTCAGACGAGCAGAAGGTCTCCGTGACTTCTCGGCCCAGTCCCCGCTTAATTAAGTCACATCTTCCTTATCATGTGATTCCAAAGAGTAAAGAGGAGAGCAAAAGAAGCAAGTATATTTACGTGGCAAGAAATCCAAGAGACGTTGCTGTTTCATATTATCACTTCGTCCTAAGCTTTGGCCCTAGCAGTTACTTTAAAGGGACATGGGAGTTCTTTGTAAAGTTGTTTCTTGAGGGCAAAAGTAAGGATTTTTATTCGTTGGAAATAGTTTTCGCTGTACGCTAAGCGGAAGTTTGACGGCATTGCGAGCTCGCCTCCTACTGTCTCTGCAAGTTCGCCACCTGAGGAAAAACAAGTTCGCTCCCACCTTTATTAGTTCGCCCCCAAATCTTTCAAAGGTACGATGATTTCGACAGCAAACAATGCGTTCTGCCTCAAGGAAACGTGTTGAACGATTTAGTTTCTGAAGAAATTGTGGGGCTGCTTCGGTGTGGTAGTATATAACGAGAGAACTCATTTGTTTCTATCAACTGAGTTGAAAATGTAAATTGGCCACCGTAAAGAGTTTGTCAAAGTCAGCTTTGAAACTCTTTACGGTGGCCAATTTACATTATCAACTTGGCTGATAAAACAAAAATTATCTTGAAAGGTTTAGGGGCGAGCTGGGAAAGGTAGGTGCAAACCTGTGTCACTTCAGGGGGCGAACTCGCAAGGGAAGGGAGGAGAGCGAACTTGCAATGGGGTGAAACTTCCATAAACCGTTAGATATCTGTGATCAAATGAAATGATTGTAAATTTGAATCATTTCCTGCAGATTCATATGGCTTTTGGTCTGATCACGTGTTGCCCTGGTGGAAACACAGAGATGAACCTCACGTCTTATTTCTCAAATATGAAGATTTAAAGAAGGTGAGCAATTTTCATGCTTTACTCATCTTTTTTTAGTTGAACTACAAACACATAAGATCAACCTTCACTAGTCCGACCATTATAACGCGAATCCGAGACTGTTATAAGTAAGGGAGCGAATACTGTGCAACCGTAAACCCCTGTAAATAAATAGTGAGTAATTGCACAAGTCTAAACTTGTAATGATTTCCATAAAAACCCATTTACCTTTCAGGATCTTTGTGGTAACGTTCGACTAATCAGCGAATTTCTCGAGAAGCCACTTTCAGATGAAATGATCCGCAAAATCGCCCACCAGTGTACGTTTGCGGAAATGAAGAAAAACTCCAACTCTTATGTCATTTCGGCATATGCTACAAAACCAAACTTGCTTCGCAAGGGTCAGATTGGAGACTGGAAGAGGCTCTTCAGTGAAGAATTAAACAAGCAATTTGAAGAAACGTTCTCGACGAAATTGAACGGTACAGGACTGCATTTTGACACAGAATAACGAACATTGATTGGTTTTCAACTTGAAAATCGATTCCTTGTAAAATGCATTTTAGTAATGTAGTGCTTTTCTTTGCAATTCTTCAAGCTATTGCGTAGCTAAGCAAAGCAATCTCTTTTCTGTGAAGCTTCAGACGGGCACGGATGAAGAGTAATATGGGTGTGGTAGAGTGACCTAAAGTTTGTACGAGGAGAGAAAGCGAAAACGTTAATCTCGTTCCCAGATCCTACCTTTTAACTGCAACTGAAAAGTCGGACTTTACAACCACTTGACCGTGGAGAGTCTGGATACGAGACTATGAAAACGTAGAGGGTGAGGGGGGGGGAAAGAGGTTTTTGGGGAGAAAGAAGGAAAAGCTCCACCCTACCCATCTCCTAAAGCTTATGAGAAGAAATCTTTCGCCGCGGACGTCAAACAACAGTACATTTTTCCTCCTCCTATGGCAGCTTCTCCAGGATCTTGATGATCTTGTTTTACGAACGGAACGAGAAGAACTTCAACTCCACTGAGAGCTACGAAGGTTCCTGGCATGTAAAACGCTGGAGGGTACAGTCCGAAACTGTTCGCTACGAATTCAACCGACGGAATATCACTGGTATCAGAATACCGATGTAGATGAAAGACCAGTTCATTTTCTATCACCTAGGGAGGGAGGGCTGGGAGGATTTTGGCCGTGTCACGATAAAATCAACCCAGTCCCCCCTAAGGCTCTTTGATATTCTTATGACCTCCCTCCCTCCCCCCCTTACTGACAGTTAATTGGCAGTCAACTTTCTTTAGTCCCATCTCTTTATACTCTGTTAGTGACGACTAATTCCCTGCCCCCCCCCCCCTTCGTTCCCACCAAAATCCATACCATCTCCTCAAGTCTTCGGCGTAGTTGGAAAAAGGGAACGCAGATGAAGACGGACTTTTATTCGCCGCTTTCGGTGGATGAGAGTGTAAAATTGGTGAATTGACAGACCAGATGGTGGGATACAACTTAACAACAAAACAAACACCTCCTGATGGAGTGCTTGTGCCAAAGGTAAACAATGACAATATCAGAATCTAATCTGTCCTTGTTTATTGATGTCATTGCAATGTCAAAGTAGGTTTAGTCTGGGTACTCGACAATTATGAATAGACATTCATAATAATAGAAGTCACGCTGTGGCGCCTGTCAGTCTCGTATTCATGTAACAGGTGCGTCGTTGGGGATTGTTTTGGCTACGCAGCTGAGTTTACATATATTGTTGGGTCAGTAAATAAATCTCTGTTGAGTTTTTTTCACTTCTCACTCATATTTTGGACATGGAACAATGCCATACGCTACACTATATGCAACATCTCTTTTCTCGATTGTCGATTTCGGAAAAATGAAAAGCTAACTAACTCTACAAAAATTTCGTTCTCGATTTCTATATTTTTAGAGTCATTAATAAGTTTGTATCCACAGCCTAAGATAAGAAATTTAAAATTTCCATCAGCTGTAATTCTTTTATCGTTTATTGTATATATTCAATTGCACCCATTTCACGTGAAAAAAAGGCAAGTAGGAAAACACTGAGCTTCGAGAAACAGCCAATTTAAGGTTAATGTGTTTACCATGCTTAAATATTTATAATCAAGGCCACTCGCTTACGGAGACCTTTTTTTTAAAAGATCTAGACGTTAAAATAATTCTGTTTTCTGTTCGAAGTGTTTTTTTCTGATTCAATTTAACAAATGCCCTCGGGATGAAAACTTAACGTCCGAACCGATCTGCAAGTGAAATGTTGTGTAAACGTTCCCGCGAAAGGTACTGCACCCAGACAACTTACATGGAAAAAACTGGCCTCAGCTATCGTACATAATTTTTTTAAAAAAATGTTTAAAACTAAACTAGAGAGCAGCACTGCGAACAGTAGTTGTAAAGTTTTTTTTATTCTCCGACGCGTTTCCTCTAACTGTCGTAGACTTCCTCAGGGAGTTTTACAAGTTAATACTAAACGCCTGTATTTATAAGCCATAGTTGGTGGCTATACGGGAGCCAATGACCATAAACGCTTGGCCAGACTTACGAAAGGAACAGGCGAAGTTGCGAAAAATTTGAACATTTTTTGGGGCATAGTGGGAGAATTATTTGGGGGCCACGGTTTTGGTTTTCTTTTTTTCGTCACCAACGCCACACAGCAAGTTACAAAACGTAAATATAATTCTTTTTGGTGCCTTTCTGGGTGCCACCGATGCCTTTTCCGATACCTCCATTGTTTATTACAGTAGTAAAAGATATATGTGCAATCAGCACTTTTGAAATATTGCTTAACATTTCATTTAGCAGAGTACACTGTTAACGTTTCGGCTTTACAAGACCTTTGTTTTCCGCAACTATAATTGATATGTCTCTACATGAGTTATTAAACTTGTTTCCCCGCTGACCACTCGTATTTCATTTTTCATAACTGTTATTCTTCGCCCGCTCGTCGCCCGTGATGTAGTAACTCTCGAAATGGTTTAGCGTGACGACAAATGGTTTAGTAAAAACCGAAATGGTTTAGTGTTACAGTAGATGGTGTGAGCTGTAACCGCCAAAAATATAAAAGTGAAATGGACAAATCAAGCTTGAAATGAAACAGTTTATGTGGAGTCTTACGTAACAACCCTTACGTCATTCAGATCGAATTTGGCGCGAAATTCGCCAGAACGATCGCGTTAATGAGGTATTCGCCACGTCGTCCACTCGACGTTCAACACAGGAAGAAATTATTTCTGTAGCCTCGTCTACTAGACTCAGCGAGCCTTATTCCGGTAATAGTCATTTTTCATGTTTGCCTATTTTCGCTTGTTAGCGAATAAATTTATGCCCTCGTCATCTTACCGCAATATCAGTAAGTAAATGATATTTCGGATTTTCCCGCCATTTTAGGTTGTTGTGCCGCCTTCTTCCTGGTTGAGTTGCTGCATATCAAACTCTTTCCCCAGTGCGACGAACATTTGTTTTTCTCGGTTCCAGGTGTACGCAACCACTAACCCCACGTAATGCGCATGCTCTCCGTTACGAATTTTCAAAATGGCGGACAGGTCAAAGAGGGAAATTAAAAAACACAAAGCGATTTTGCAATGAATTCTCAACATACACCCTCGTTAGAAAGGCGAATCCACGGAAGAAAGATACAAAACTGTATGCTATTAAGATCGATATGATATTAAATCGATACCGAGGGCTCGTTTAATTGCCTTCCGCCACGATTATTAGCTTTCTTGACAGCTTTCTAAGGGCAGAATACTTTCTTTCTGAAGACTTCTGATATGCGGTTATTGATTATTACACCTCGTATACCTGATTGCTCAAACACTTTGTTTACGATTGTTGAAAGGACCGACTCATGGTTCTCCGTCTTCGTCTTGACATTGCAGTTTGAAATAGTATAGACTAGTAAGCTGAAACGAAAAATTAATCAGGGAAGTTTACGAAAAATCCAGCAAACAAGCTTTAAAAAGGCATTTATTTAGACTTCATACTTCAACGAACTTCACAAATCTCACTTGTTTATCTTGTAAGTAAACGATGGCAGATTAATTCCCGAAGCGCTTTCTGAGTTTCCCGATCTCTCTCCTACTGCTTTCACGCTTACAAAACAGGAAAATAAAAAGGAGGAAGATACAGCTGTTTTGAAACACCATTTGACGAAGGTAAATCTGCTTTTTGTTCGACACTTTACATATCAAAACAAAGGAAATTTGTTCCTCTTTTTGATTCTGGCGGTACATTTTTAATTTGCGCCTGCGTAAAAGAGATATCGCCCGAGACCCTTCGCTCGGTTGTGTTTTGATCAAAAACGCCTTGTTAATTTCACGCAACCACTCGGAGAAAAGGTAAAATGACGAGGGAAAAACTTTATCTTCAAGTTAGAAAATTAGCGAAATAGAAAGCCATAATATTATAGTTTAATATTTCAGAGGTAAATTGAGTGCTTTTTTCCGTACAGAATCCGCACGATGGTAAAACATTCGAAAATTACACTCGATTTGAGTGGGGTGTTGAAGTGGGCGTGGTCACTACATTCATGTTAAGACTATTTGTACCCCATGAGTTTGATATGCTACAAGTTTGCATTCTGACAGGTTAAATGTCAAATGTATGGTATGGGACAATTCTCACTAACTGTTATTCGTTTTAATATAAAGGTACAAATGTGGAAGAGGCCAAAAGAATTCTCAGAGATAGTGGAATGCCGCTGATCCCAGCAGATGATATGGATGACGCGGCCCAAAAAGCAGTCACAAGTCTTACGAACTAACGTCTGTTTTTGGACCATCTAGTTAGTTAATCCTTTAACCTCTTGCGCTAAAATCGCAGGGTCCTCGATCGATGGGTGGATGTAAGTCGTGCGCAAGAAGGCCTAAATGATTAAAAAAAAAATTGAGGACAGACTCTATGGTCAGAGTATGAACGTTGTGCCTGGTACATTGTTTGTGAATAATACATGACTTGGATTAGAACTTTGAAATGTAATGGCTGAATTTTACGAGTATTGTTTACCTCCGGGAGTTCACACAATGAGACTTGAGTATTTTGATAGGCCTTTTTATCATAAAAATGAAGCACAAATTTTTTAGGTTTGTTATGGTCGTGTTCATTCTTCGTCATTTTTGGCCTCCCTTGTCCTTTTCCAGTTTATTCTTCATTTGCTGTGTTGATCTACTTTATCACGCGGTCATTTTGAAGTTAAGGCAATTTTTGATAATGCTAAAATGACTCCACCCTGCGTAGCTGGCGCTTTTGTGAGCCGAGAAAATAAGCAGTGAAGCTGCGGAGAATTGGAGCTTTAACCTCGCTGCACATTTACCAGGACAGTGCAGCAGAGCTACAACATTGCACTTTGAGCCAATTTGGGTTCACACGATCAGTGAAAGTATATCAACCCTAACATCAGAATGTATATTATCCATACCTTTTTCGATACCTTTCCGTGGGAGAAGGAGAAAACGTGCGTAGGCCAATCCAGAAGATTAGACGTACTGGAGAGGACTTGAAAAAAAAAATTACATGAAAATAACGGCCAGTGCGAAACCTTGCTCCATGCCCACAACTCATGCAAAAAAAAGTTAAAACTGATAAATAAGAACATCATTCCCCCCTCTTCCACTCCTTTCGTGCTTCGTCAGGAGAGGCAGACGTCGCAGAACTCACTCAACGCAATAAGGAGGGAGAATGTTGCGTGACTACTTTTACAGCGGTCACGAGAAAAACAAAAGAAGGAGGGTACGTAAGTGTTGCGCAACTATGGGCAGCCGTCACCACCAATCGCTTGTTGGTTTCGGCGAGATAGCCTTCACGTCACGCCACCAAAAATGCAAACCTCAAATGGAACAGCGATCTGCTGGGGGGCATGACGTCATTGAATGCGAAGAATGTCGCGAAACCATCACAAGGTGTAAGAGTCTTACTTCGCCTTGCCGTAAAGCAGAGCCAATTCGGTGAGTTTCTCCTTTTTTTCCCGCCGATATTGCATTTATTCGTTGTCGTTCATGTAAGTGTTAATTAAAATAGCAACGAGACTGGATTCTACCACGGTTTGCCGGTCTCCCGGTTTACCACAGTTTGCACGCGTTGGTGAGCCTGAATGTTTAGAGTATTAAGTAGTGTTAAGACGTACATTAAATGTCGATTGCCGAGCTCTCTTTTCTTTTCTGACTCGCGCTTACTTTTCAATGAGAGTTTAACTGCAAAGGCTCTTTGAACATTGCAGGAGTACTTGAGAAGTTGGATTTTGTGTGTGCCTCGGACGCTATGGTGAGTAAAACTGATATCCTTGATCCGTTTTGACATGTTTCAATCAAACACGTAGTGTTTGCCAAAGCAACCTTTTATCCGAGTTGGTTTTATCGTCCGGCACACCAATTCAAGCATTCTGATATCACTTTTATTGAAGAATGTCAAAACGATCAAGTATATCAGTTTTCTTACCATGGAGGGCTCCGCGATCGACATTTAATGCATGTCATAATTAACAATTGGTTCATACGTTCGCGTGCGTTCATCGAGATATGAAGCACGCGGGAAGTTTGGAGAGCACGAAAGATGCGTAAGAGTTGCTCGAGGCGTAGCTGAGAGCAACTCTAGCTTCTTGAGTGCTCTCCAAACTTCCCAAGTGATTCATATCTCGATGAACGCACGCGAACGTATGAACCAATTGTTTTATAACATTTTCAACCTGATTTATAACATAGATAGTAAATTTGTGTAATCAAATTCAATTGCGCGAGCGTGCTTCATATTTCTATTGTGCAAAAAAATTTTCCATCGGGTTGAAAATGTTATAAAACAATTGGTTCTGAAATTAAGAGATCCTCGAAGCTAAGAACACTACTGAAACGAGTTGTTGATAATAGGACCTGAAAAAAATTCAGGCCCGTACGGGATTTGAACCCCAATTGGTTCATGCGTCAGCTGTGCGTTCGTCGAGATATGAAGCACTTAAGAAGTTTGGAGAGCACTCAAGAAGCTAGAGTTGCTCTCGGTTACGCCTCAAGCAACTCTTATGCATCTTTCGTGCTCTCCAAACTTCCCGCGTGCTTCATATCTCGATGAACGCACGCTGACGTATGAACCAATTGTTAAGGAAATTTTTTTTTCTCGAGGGATTTGTTTGCTGATGTCATGAGCGTGCACAATAGGAATATGAAGCACGCTCGCGCAATTGAATTTGAATTTGGTTTCGACAAGATTGTCTCCACGGCACGCCATAAGCAAGCTCGACGATTCGCCACAAAATCGAAATATTTCATGCAATACTAAGCTATTTAATGTTCAGTTAGAGCATCTGATGTTCTGCAAAGACGTGTGTAAGCTGTACCATTCGACATTACACTGAGCCATTTGACGCAACGCTACACCATTTGTGTGTACGCTGTACAATTCTAAATTACGCTGAGCCATTTGACGCAACGCTACACCGTTTATGCGTACGCTGTGCTACTCGACATTACCCTGAGCCATTTGACGCAACGCTACACCGTTTGTGAACTATATTGCAAATGAGTGCTAAGCTATTCGTAATTGAGCTAGTCCATTTCACAATTTCATGTTCCAACTCGACATGGGCAACTGGACCGTTTATCATTTGGCTAGACTATTCATGTTTAGGGTATTCTGTTTCATGAAGGAAAACTAAACCGTCTATAATTTGGTCATGCCATTCCTTTATTAGCTATTCTATCCTGCAGCTGATCCTTAAATCAGCTTTGTATTTGCTGATCTATTTGACATCCTTGTATTTTTGGTGGTGACGGCCGCTCATACCGCAACAGTGTACACGTTACATATATCTTTTACTACCGTAATATGCAGTGGAGGCATCGGAAAGTCATCGGTGACATCCGGAAAGGCACCAAGAAGAATTCTATTCACGTTTTGTAACTTGCAGAAAATAATGGTGTTGTGAGGCCGAAATGTAACTAGGTTATACTTCGCTAATTTAAAAGTTAAGCAATTTTCCAAAGCTTTGACTGGTGCCATATTTTTTATTGCCAAATTACCCAACGGAGGCATCGGGAAGGCATCGGTGACACCGGGAAAGGCATCAACAAGAATGATATTTACGTTATGTAACTTGTTGTGTGACGAAAAATAAGTATTTTGACTTGTTTAAGGCGTTAATCACAGCTGGCTTACTTTTCACTTGAATTTTTACAATCATATTTCGACTTTTGTTTCCGGAAAAATGAAAAGCTAAGCAACTCTACAAAAATTTCGTTTTCGATCGATTTTTCTATTTTTAGAGACATTTATAAGTTTGTATTCACAGCCTAAGATAAGAAATTTAAATATTTCCATTAAAGTTATTTAACGGTATTATATATATTTCAATCGCCCCCATTTCACGTAAAGAAAGGACAAGAAGGAAAACACTGAGCTTCGAAAAACAGCCAAGTTTGGGCCAATGTCTCTCCCATCCTTAAATTTTTATAATCAAGGCCACTCGTTTTGGGACCGTTTTCTCAAAAGATCCAGACGTTAAAATAATTCTGTTTTCCCTTCGAATTTTTTCCCCTATCATTTCAATTTAACAAATGTACTCGGCGATGAAAACTTCGTCTGAACCGAACAAAGGCCACAAATTTTGAATTCTGCGATGTTCTCCACTGTTGGCTCCATCACGTTACGATTCTGGATTTTTGACACTCGCGAAAGTCTATTTTAGTTGACTACCAAGGACTGTCTTACTTACCTTGGTAAATAAAAGTCTATACACGACGTTAAATTCATGATCTGGTTCAATGTTAAAGTCAGCTTTAAAATTTTAACTCTGCTCCTCTGACAAGATGCCGCCCTTACGGCGGGTGAAATGTTGTGTAAGCGTCTCCGTGCACATCCAGGACAACTTGCATGGAAAAACTGGCCACAGCTATCGCACCCAAGCCAATCCTCTCCATCGTTGTAATATTTCGGCTTTACAACACGGTTGTTTTCTGCAAGTCAGATTGCAAAACATATATCAGTATACCGAACCCAGTCTTCCCTCCTAGCACGTCTCATGTATTCATGATATCAGCGAATTAATGATCAGATGACATTTCAGTATTATCCTGAATTTAGGCCCGAGAACGTGTAGCAACGGTAAAACGTAAATAGAATTCTTCTTGGTACCCTTCGGATGCCATCGATACCTTTATAAGTATACAGCACTATTGTTCTCTGCAACTACCAATGATCTGTCTGTATATGAAGCATTAAAGTTGTTTCACTGCTGACCACTCGATCGTATTTCGGTCTTTTTTCCTTCCTCAGCTCGTCGCCAGTGATGTAGTGTCTCCCCTACGATGTCGGAACACTTCACAGTCATTCAAGAAAAGGAAGGGGAGTTCTTTGGACCACGACAAGCGTTGATTCATGGCGTACGATTAACATTTTATGCACCCAACATTGATAAAGACTTTGAGAGGGACTTGAGTCGTTTTGAAACCCGATCAGAGGATATTTATGTGGTTAGTTTCCCAAAATCAGGTAAGGCTATAGACTGAGATTGGATCACATTAATTGTGGCAAGTTAAACGCGGTTAAAGTTTTAAGCAGCCAACAACTATGCATGTAATCTTTCGCCGTCCTGGGTGAGAAGCTCGCATATGTTTACAACCGAGCAAATAAATGCGTGCAAAGAAAACCAATTTCCATAATTGATCAAATAAGTGCGTGAAACTGACTGAGTGCTTACAAACCTCTATAGGATCGTACATCATAGAATGGTCGCGTGGTCCGAATGGGTAACAACAGTCACGGCCATAGTAAGTTTATCAGAAGGGCTAAGTTTCTAAAGAAATTGTCGTGCTGCGTCAGTGAGGGGTATAACAGAATAATTTGGTTTTATCAACTGAGTTGATAATGTAAATTGGCCATCGTAAGGAGTTTATAGAGCTGCCGTTTCAAAAAGTTAGCCCTTCGCTCGAACGAAGGAATCAGCTTTACGATTAACAATTAACACGTCCAGCTTTGATAAGGATATTAAGAGGAATTTGCGTCGTTTTGAAACCTGTTCAGACGATATCTATGTGGTCAGTTTTCCAAAATCAGGTAAGGCTGTAGATCGATCCTTTCGATAGGCCACTTTGCTTCACTTCGTCGCCAATTTCTTTTACAGTGCAGTCTTTTGAGTGCTGATTTATTTGCTAATAGGGACAACTTCGGCAAAAAAATAGAAATTTTGTCTACAAGACGTCCGCAATTTTTGAATCATTGTTTGGTTGCCATGTGAACTTTAATATATTTTACATGGTTTAGCCATTTTAAACCGCGTGAACTCATAACTTAAAAGGTCCTTAGGGAGAGTAAGTAAAACAGCTTAATTTTTACAGCAAACCAAATCACTCCGTATAATTGATAGAGTAGCTCATGTTTACAACTGACCAAATTAGCGCGTGCAAGAAATGCAAACCGCGGACAACGAGATCTGAACTAAACTTTCTTTCCTTTTTTCAGGAACAACCTGGGTGCAAGAAATTGTCTGGCAAATATTCAACGATGGAAAAATCAGCGAAGAAAGGATGGAAAGTCGCCATCCCTTTTTGGAAAAAAATCAGCTTTTCGATAGGCCTAGAGACGAGTCAGACGGACAGAAGGTCTCCGTGACTTCTCGGCCCAGTCCCCGCTTAATTAGGTCACATCTTCCTTACCATGTGATTCCGATGAGTAAAGAGGAGAGCAAAAGAAGCAAGTATATTTACGTGGCAAGAAATCCAAGAGACGTTGCTGTTTCATATTATCACTTTGTCCTAAGCTTTGGCCCTAGCAGTTACTTTAATGGGACGTGGGAGTTCTTTGTAAAGTTGTTTCTTGAGGGCAAAAGTAAGGATTTTTATTCGTTGGAAATAGTTTTCGCTGTAAGCTAAGCGGAAGTTTGACGGCATTGCGAGCTCGCCTCCTACTATCTCTGCAAGTTCGCCACTTGAGTAAAAACAAGCTCGCTCCCTCTGCCTCAAGAAAACGTGTTGAACGATTTAGTTTCTGAAGAAACTGTGGGGCTGCTTCGGTGTGGTAGTATATAACGAGAGAAATCATTTGTTTCTATCAAATGAGTTGAAAATGTAAATTGGCTACCGTAAAGAGTTTCAAAGCTCACGTTTCGCGCGTTAGCCCTTCGTCAGAGTAAAAGACAAGCCATTTGCCATTCGCTCTGACAAAGGGCTAACGCGCGAAACGTCAGCTTTGAAACTCTTTACGGTGGCCAATTTACATTATCAACTCGGCTGATAAAACAAAAATTATCTTGAAAGATTTAGGGGCGAGCTGGAAAAGGTAGGTGCAAACCTGTGTCACTTCAGGGGGCAAACTCGCAAGGGAAGGTAGGAGAGCGAACTTGCAATGGGGTGAAACTTCCATAAACCGTTAGATATCTGTGATCAAATGAAATGATTGTAAATTTGAATCATTTCCTGCAGATTCATATGGCTTTTGGTCTGATCACGTGTTGCCCTGGTGGAAACACAGAGATGAACCTCACGTCTTATTTCTCAAATATGAAGATTTAAAGAAGGTGAGCTATTTTCATGCTTTACTCATCTTTGTTTTAGTTGGACTACAAACACATAAGATCAACCTTCACTAGTCCGACCATTATAACGCGAATCCGAGACTGTTATCAGTAAGGGAGCGAATACTGTGCAACCGTAAACCCCTGTAAATAAATAGTGAGTAGTTGCACAAGTCTAAACTTGTAATGATTTCCATAAAAACACATTTACGTTTCAGGATCTTCGTGGTAACGTTCGACTAATCAGCGAATTTCTCGAGAAGCCACTTTCAGATGAAATGATCCGCAAAATCGCCCACCAGTGTACATTTGCGGAAATGAAGAATAACTCCAACTCTTATGTCATTTCGGCATATGCTACAAAACCAAACTTGCTTCGCAAGGGTCAGATTGGAGACTGGAAGAGGCTCTTCAGTGAAGAATTAAACAAGCAATTTGAAGAAACGTTCTTGACGAAATTGAACGGGACAGGACTGCATTTTGACACAGAATAACGAACATTGATTGGTTTTCAACTTGAAAATCGATTCCTTGTAAAATGCATTTTAGTAATGTAGTGCTTTTATTTGCAATTCTTCAAGCTATTGCGTAGCTAAGCAAAGCAATCTCTTTTCTGTGAAACTTCAGACGGGCACGGATGAAGAGTAATATGGGTGTGGTAGAGTGACCTAAAGTTTGTACGAGGAGAGAAAACGAAAACGTTAATCTCGTTCCCAGATCCTACCATTTAACTGCAACTGAAAAGTCGGACTTTACAACCACTTGGCCGTGGAGAGTCTGGATACGAGACTACGAAAACGTAGAGGGTGGGGAGGGGGGGGGGAAGAGGTTATTGGGGAGAAAGAAAGAAAATCTCCACCCTTCCCATCCCCTAAAGCTTATGAGAAGAAATCTTTCGCCGCGGACGTCAAACAACAGTAAATTTTTCCAGCACCAATAGTGCCACTCCTATGGCAGCTTCTCCAGGATCTTGATGATCTTTTTTTACAAACAGAACGAGAAGAACTTCAACTCCACTGAGAGCTACGAAGGCTCCTGGCGTGTAAAACGCTGGAGGGTACAGTCCGAAACTGTTCGCTACGAATTCAGCCAACGGAATATCACTGATATCAGAATACCGATAAAGATGAAAGACCAGTTCATTTTCTATCACCTAGGGAGGGAGGGCTGGGAGGATCAACCCAGTCCCCCCCTAAGGCTCTTTGATATTCTTATGACCCCCCCTCCCTCCCCCCCTTACTGACAGTTAATTGGCAGTCAACTTTCTTTAGTCCCATCTCTTTATACTCTGTTAGTGACGACTAATTCCCCCCCCCCCTCCTTCGTTCCCACTAAAATCCATACCATCTCCTCAAGTCTTCGGCGTAGTCGGGAAAAGGGAACACAGATGAAGACGGACTTTAATTCGCCGCTTTCGGTGGACGGGAGCCAATTTGGGTTCACACGATCAATGAGAGTATATCAACCCTAACATCAGAATGTATATTATCCATACCTTTTTCGATACCTTTCCGTGGGAAAAAGAAAAAAACGTGCTTGGGCCAATCCAGAAGATTAGACTTACTGGAAAGGACGTGAAAAAAAAAAAAAATTACAAATTAAAAAATTACGGCCAGTGCGAAACCTTGCTCCATGAAATAAGAACATCATTCTCCCCCTCCTCCACTCCTTTCGTGCTTCGTCAGGAGAGGCAGACGTGGCAGAACTCATTCAACGTATTAAGGAGGGAGAGTGTTGCGTGACTACTTTTACAGCGGTCACGAGAAAAACAAAAGAAGGAGGGTACGTAAGTGTTGCGCAACAGTGCACACGTTACATATATCTTTTACTGACGTAATATACAATAGGGGCATCTGAAAAGTCATCGGTGACATCCGGAAAGGCGCCAAGAAGAATTCTATTCACGTTTCGTAACTAAACAATAGTGTTGTGAGGCCGAAATGTAAGTTACACTTCACTAATTAAAAAGTTAAGCAATTTTCCAAAAGCTTTGACTAGCACCATATTATTCATTGTGAAATTAATCAACGGAGGCATTGGGAAGGCATCGATGACACCGGGAAAGGCATCAACAAGAATGATATTTACGTTATGTAACTTGTTGTGTGACGAAAGGCCTAAGAACGTGTTGCAACGGCAAAACGTAAATAGAATTCTTCTTGGTACCCTACTGGATGCTATCGATAGCTTTTCCGATGCTTCCATTGTCTATTTCAACTGGAAAAGATTTATGTAAAAACAGCACTTTTGAAAATTGCTTAACATTTTATTTAACGAAGTGTACTGTTGACATTTTAGCGTTACAACACGTTTGTTTTCTGCAACTACCAATGATCTGTCTGTATCAGTGAAGCATTAAAGTTGTTTCACTGCTGACCACTCGATCGTATTTCGGTCTTTTTTCCTTCCTCAGCTCGTCGCCAGTGATGTAGTATCTCCCCGACGATGTCGGAACATTTCACAGTCATTCAAGAAAAGGAAGGAGAGTTCTTTGGACCACGACAAGCGTTGATTCATGGCGTACGATTATCATTTTATGTGCCCAACATTGATAAAGACTTTGAGAGGGACTTGAGTCGTTTTGAAACCCGATCAGAGGATATTTATGTGGTTAGTTTTCCAAAATCAGGTAAGGCTATAGATCGAGATTGGATCACGTTAATTGTGGCAAGTTTAACGCGGTAAAATCTCTACGCAGCCGACAATTATGAATGCAATCAGTCATGGGTGAGAAGCTCGCATATGTTTAAAACCTAGCGAAGAAATGCGTACAACGAAAACCAATTTCCGTTACTGACCGAATAAGTGCGTGAAACTGACAACAGTCACAGCCATATTAAGTTTCTCAGGAGGGGTAAGTTTCTATAGAAATTTTATTGCTGCGTCAGTGAGGGGTATAGCAGAATAATTTGGTTTTATCAACTGAGTTCATAATGTCGATTGGCCATCGTAAAGAGTTTATAGAGCTGCCGTTTCGAAAGTTAGCCCTTCTCTCGAACGAGGGAATCAGCTTTACGATTAACTAGACCCTGTGAGCGGGGTAACTGGGATACCTGGATGGTACTGGATCCTTGGAATCAAGTGTAGTGATACTACGGGTGTCGGATTAGTATACTGAAGTAGTGCGCTCAAGTCTGGCCAAGGGCATACACCTATTTCAAAACATAGGCATGCTATGCATGCAAGAGTTACTTTTTTGTAGGGTGGGTGGATTACTTGAAACATTGTGAGTGATGTCTACATTCTTACAAAAGGAGAGAAGAATATTAATGTGGCAAAGAACGAAAATGTCAAATTACCTCACTCACAGGTATTTTGTGGTAGATTATGTGTGTTTTGCAAATAAATGTAACCAAAAATAAACTGTATTGGTGCCACGGATACCTGTCAGTACAAAATGCAGACTGCAGAGTGGGTACAAAATGCAGACTAAGAATCTGAAGAGTTTTTACGTCTGGTATATAATAATATGTCATCTTACAGCTTACCGAGCGTCACGCAATCGCTTTTCTGCGATCCGCCTTCACGATTATTTGCACTATTTTGGAATATTCCTGGCCCATTTCTTGATGAAAATCGATCGCAATATTATTTCAAGCCTTCAATATAGTCTTCTTACTTTGCGCGCGAGTTGGTTGGTGTGATGTCTGTACAGATTTTACCAACGTAATAAAAGTAGATGACGTGAGTAACAGTGATAGTAAAGCAAGCTTAAAACGGCAGAAATCGCAGAAAATACAACGGATACACAGGGTATGAGTAAGTTTTATTGATTTTACGAGAAAAATGTTCATATTTCGAAATATGTATCGTTGTAAATCGACCATACTTCGTTCCCTATACTATTCCTTATAACGTGCAGTTCCTCTCGTAACTTAACACCGAGTCACACAACGCGTGACGCGTTCATGGATTAATCGTTGGCTTTTTCTCGAGACTTGAGCTTGGGCCGCCTGTGACAAGACAATTGCGTTAACAATATTTAACATAATAACATTATACACAAAAAAAAACACAGGGTTTTGGATCACGTATTTATTAAAAAGAATATCCATACAACTACAATGAAAACAAACATAAGATTCACCTTTCTGATCGTGAAATTAATACCATTCGTACTGTTATCGTAGCTACGTTCCTTGCCATCAAGTGAATCCAACATGTCGTCTTTCTTCACGAACAGTTTGCATCCATTATAGTTATGTTCTTCAGTCTCACGGTAGTAGTGTTGTTCAATAGATTGCATAGAGTATATGCAGTTTGGTTTCAGATTTCAGATTTTGCTTTTTACAACAAGAGAACGTTTTTCAACTAAGACATTGGCATACTTAGCCTACTAGGCATTTAGGGCTTTCATGGCTTTCAAGAGTTCGCGACTTTATCCGTTCCAAAATTACCGCTCAATAACATCTTTCAGTGTGGATTAGCCGCGATTAATACGACTTCTATATGCGTCTGTAAGTATTTTGCGCGTTTGCGCCATAATGCTCCAGGAGATCGCAATCCAAATACAGTGAAATACAAAACAACCGACCAAAGAGTTTTATAAGCAAAATCTCGTGATTCGTCATGTGACCCGGCCCTGTCTGTGCATGACAACATCAATCATTATCAAGATAACACGCGTGATCAGCATGTGAACGCCTTCACTGGATCACAGTTAGTTGTCATGGTGTTGAGGGATAACACGCGTGATCAGCATGTGAACATCTCATTGGATCACAGTTAGTTGTCATGGTGTTGAGGGCCCAATGACCTCTGGGTACTATTGCGCAATTTTCCATTTTGTGGCGGAGGAAAAAAAAAAAAAAAAGGGACAAAAAAGCAAAGGCATTTTCTCTTTGTCGCCGATTTCTTTTACAGTGTAGTCTTTTGAGTGCTGAGTTATTTATGACTAGGGAAAATTTCGGCAAAAGAAAACGGGATTTTGTCCATAAGACGTCCACAACACATGCTATTTTTTAATCATTGTTTGGTTGCAATGTGAACTTTAATATATTTTACATATGCAAATAGGTAGGTTTACAGTAGACACTTGTCTCTAAATTACCCTAAACCCCTCTGGACACATTTAAATCAAGAAAGGGCAAATGTCTATCCTTATCACGCTCGAGGGTGGATTGGATCGACGGCTCTACTGAATTAAAATGCGATAGGAGGCGCTCCGCTTCAATTCCGAATACCGCAGAAATAACATCATCGACATGTCGTTTCCAGAAAAAGGGTTTAACCGGCGAAGTGGCTAAGGCCCTCAGTTGTTCCACGTCTCCATTACCAGGTTGGCAATGACAGCAGAGACGGGCGAACCCATAGCTGTACCAAAACCTTGTTGATAGTAGGTGTCGTTATATGCAAATAGCGTGGTTTCGAGGCAAAAAGACAGCAGATGAATAATATCCTCCACAAGCAAAGAAGTTCTTTGTCCTAGGGAAGCATCTTCTCTGAGTCTCTCCTCCGCAACCTTAACGGCAAGATCAACTGGGATTTTAGCGAAGAGCGAAACAACGTCGAAAGATACCAATTCTTCACAAGCGTTAAGAGTCTTATCTCTTATGAAATCCTCAAATTCGCAGGAATTTTTGACAGTGTAATCAGTATTCCGAACAACAGGCGACAAAATTTTCGCAAGACAGCCTGAAATTGCGTAAGTCGAAGAATTATCAAAAGAAACAGTGGGTATCAAAGGAATTCCCGGTTAATAAATTTAAGTAAGCCATACAAACGTGGACATAAGCCGTCACAAAAAGGTAGCTAATTAGTGACCATATGAAAGGACCTCTTCTTTGCAGCGTTTAGATCACCCCTGATGAAGGCACTAGACAGGAGTGTCGAAACGTTGGGTCTATGGATTGTAACTTCTTCGCTTACATTCATTAAATTTGTAAACCAGAGAAGCATCAAACCATGTCTTACTGTTTAGCCATTCTAAACCACGTGACCTCATAGCTTAAAAGGTCCATAGGAGAGCACGTAAAGCAGCGTAATTTTTACAGCAAACCAAATCACTCCGTATAATTGACAGAGTAGCTCATGTTTACAACTGACCAAATTAGTACGTGCAAGAAATGCAAACTGCGGACAACGAGATCTATCTTTTCCGTTTTTTCAGGAACAACCTGGGTGCAAGAAATTGTCTGGCAAATACTCAACGATGGAAAAATCAGTGAAGAAAGGGTGGAAAGTCGCTCTCCCTTTTTGGAAAAAAGTCAGCTCTTCGATAGGCCTGGAGACGAGTCAGACGAGCAGAAGGTCTCCGTGACTTCTCGGCCCAGTCCCCGCTTAATTAAGTCACATCTTCCTTATCATGTGATTCCAAAGAGTAAAGAAGAGAGCAAAAAAGAAGCAAGTATATTTACGTGGCAAGAAATCCAAGAGACGTTGCTGTTTCATATTATCACTTCGTCCTAGGCTTTGGCCCTAGCAGTTACTTTAAAGGGACGTGGGAGTTCTTTGTAAAGTTGTTTCTTGAGGGCAAAAGTAAGGATTTTATTTGTTGAAATGGTTTTCGCTGTAAGCTAAGCGGAAGTTTTACGGCATTGCGAGCTCGCCTCCTACTGTATCTGCAAGTTCGCCACTTGAGGAAAAACAAGTTCGCTCCCACCTTTATCAGTTCGCCCCCAAATCTTTCAAAGGTACTATGATTTCGACAGCAAAACAATGCTTTCTGCCTTAAGGAAACGTGTTGAACGATTTAGTTTCTGAAGAAATTGTGGGGCTGCTTTGGTATGGTAGTATATAACAAGAAAGTTTATTTATTTTGATGAACTGAGTTGATAATGTAAACTGGCCACCGTAAAGAGTTTCAAAGCTCACTTTTCGCACGTTAGCCCTTCGTCAGAGCAAAAGACAAACCATTTGCCATTCGCTCTAACAAAGGGCTAACGCGCGAAACGTCAGCTTTGAAACTCATTACGGTGGCCAATTTATTTATCAACTCGGTTGATAAAACAAAAATTATCTTGGAAGGTCTAAGCGCGAGCTGGGAAAGGTGGGTGCAAACCTGTGTCACTTCAGGGGGCGAACTCGCAAAAGACGGTAGGAGAGCGAACTTGAAATAGGGCGAAACTTCCATAAACCGTTAGATATCTGTGATCAAATGAAATGATTGTAAATTTGAATCATTTCCTGCAGATTCATATGGCTTTTGGTCTGATCACGTGCTACCCTGGTGGAAACATAGAGGCGAACCTCACGTCTTATTTCTCAAATATGAAGATTTAAAGAAGGTGAGCTATTTTCATGCTTTACTCATCTTTGTTTTAGTTGAACTACAAATACATAAGATCAACCTTCACTAGTCCGACCATTATAACGCGAATCCGAGACTGTTATCAGTAAGGGAGCGAATACTGTGCAACCATAAAACCCCTCTAAATAAATAGTGAGTAGTCGCACAAGTCTAAACTTGTAATGATTTCCTTAAAAACCCATTTACCTTTCAGGATCTTTGTGGTAACGTTCGACTAATCAGTGAATTTCTCGAGAAGCCACTTTCAGATGAAATGATCCGCAAAATCGCCCACCAGTGTACGTTTGCGGAAATGAAGAAAAACTCCAACTCTTATGTCATTTCGGCATATGCTACAAAACCAAACTTCCTTCGCAAGGGTCAGATTGGAGACTGGAAGAGCCTCTTCAGTGAAGAATTAAACAAGCAATTTGAAGAAACGTTCTTGACGAAATTGAACGGGACTGGACTGCATTTTGACACAGAATAACAAACATTGATTAGTATTCAGTTTGAAAATCGATTCCTTGTAAAATGCATTTTAGTAATGCAGTGCTTTTATTTGCAATTCTTCAAGCTATTGCGTAGCTAAGTAAAGCAATCTCTTTTCTGTGAAGCGGGCACGGATGAAGAGTAATATGGGTGTGGTAGAGTGACCTAAAGTTTGTACGAGGAGAGAAAGCGAAAACGTTAATCTGTTTCCCAGATCCTACCATTTAACTGCAACTGAAAAGTCGGACTTTACAACCACTTGGCCGTGGAGAGTCTGGATACGAGACTACGAAAACGTAGAGGGTGGGGAGGGGGGGGAAGAGCTAATTGGGGAGAAAGGAGGAAAATCTCCACCCTACCCATCCCCTAAAGCTTATGAGAAGAAATCTTTCGCCGCGGACGTCAAACAACAGTACAACAGTGCTCCTCTTATGGCAGCTTCTCCAGGATCTTGATGATCTTGTTTTACAAACAGAACGAGAAGAACTTCAACTCCACTGAGAGCTACGAAGGCTCCTGACATGTAAAACGCTGGAGGGTACAGTCCGAAACTGTTCGCTACGAATTCAGCCGACGGAATATCACTGGTATCAGAATACCGATGTAGATGAAAGACCAGTTCATTTTCTATCACCTAGGGAGGGAAGGCTGGGAGGATTTTGGTCGTGTCACGATAAAATCAACCCAGTCCCCCCCCAAGGCTCTTTTGATATTCTTATGACCCCCCCTCCCTCTCCCTTACTGACAGTTAATTGGCAGTCAACTTTCTTTAGTCCCATCTCTTTATACTCTGTTAGTGACGACTAATTCCCCGCCCCCCCTTCGTTCCCACCAAAATCCATACCATCTCCTCAAGTCTTCGGCGTAGTCGGAAAAAGGGAACACAGATGAAGACGGACTTTTATTCGCCGCTTTCGGTGGACGGGAGTGTAAAATTGGTGAATTGACAGACCAGATGGTGGGATACAACTTAACAACAAAACAAACACCTCCTGATGGAGTGCTTGTGCCAAAGGTAAACAATGACAGTATCAGAATCTAATCTGTCCTTATTTATTGATGTCATTGCAATGTCAAAGTAGGTTTAGTCTGGGTACTAGACAATTATGAATAGACAGTCATAATAGTAGACATAGAATGTAACGTAAAAAGTCACGCTGTGGCGCCTGTCAGTCTCGTATTCATGTAACAGGTGCGTCGTTGGGGATTGTTTTGGCTACGCAGCCGAGTTTACATATATTGTTGGGTCAGTAAATAAATCTCTGTTGAGTTTTTTCACTTCTCACTCATATTTTGGACATGGAACAATGCCATACGCTACACTATATGCAACATCTCTTTTCTCGATTGTCGATTTCGGAAAAATGAAAAGCTAACTAACTCTACAAAAATTTCGTTCTCGATTTCTATATTTTTAGAGTCATTAATAAGTTTGTATCCACAGCCTAAGATAAGAAATTTAAAATTTCCATCAGCTGTAGTTCTTTTATCGTTTATTGTATATATTCAATTGCACCCATTTCACGTGAAAAAAAGGCAAGTAGGAAAACACTGAGCTTCGAGAAACAGCCAATTTAAGGTTAATGTGTTTACCATGCTTAAATATTTATAATCAAGGCCACTCGCTTACGGAGACCTTTTTTAAAAGATCTAGACATTAAAATAATTCTGTTTTCTGTTCGATGTGTTTTTTCTGATTCAATTTAACAAATGCCCTCGGGATGAAAACTTAACGTCCGAACCGATCTGCAAGTGAAATGTTGTGTAAACGTTCCCGCGAAAGGTACTGCACCCAGACAACTTACATGGAAAAAACTGGCCTCAGCTATCGCACCTAATTTTTTTTAAAAAATGTTTAAAACTAAACTAGAGAGCAGCACTGCGAACAGTAGTTGTAAAGTTTTTTTATTCTCCGACGCGTTTCCTCTAACTGTCGTAGACTTCCTCAGGGAGTTTTACAAGTTAATACTAAACGCCTGTATTTATAAGCCATAGTTAGTGGCTATACGGGAGCCAATGACCATAAACGCAACAACTACAACATTGCATTTTGAGCCAATTTGGGTTCACACGATCAATGAAAGTATATCAACCCTAACATCAGAATGTATATTATCCATACCTTTATCGATACCTTTCCGGGGGAGAAAGGAGAAAACGTGCTTGGGCCAATCCAGAAGATTAGACGTACTGGAGAGGGCGTGAAAAAAAAAAAAAAAATTATTAAATAAAAAATTACGGCCAGTGCGAAACCTTGCTCCATGCCCACAACTCATGCAAAAAAAAGTTAAACTGATTAATAAGAATATCATTTCCCCCCTCCTCCACTCCTTACGTGCTTCGTCAGGAGAGGCAGACGTCGCAGAACTCATTCAACGCAATAAGGAGGGAGAGTGTTGCGTGACTACCTTTACAGCGGTCACGAGAAAAACAAAAGAAGGAGGGTGCGTAAGTGTTGCGCAACTATGGGCAGCCGTCACCACCAAAAATACAAGGATGTCAAACAGATCAGCAAATACAAAGCTGGTTTAAGGATTAGCTGCAGGATAGAATAGCTAATAAAGGAATGGCATGACCAAATTATAAACGGTTTAGTTTTCCTTCACGAAACAGAATACCCTAAACATGAATAGTCTAGCCAAATGATAAACGGTCCAGTTGCCCATGTCGAGTTGGAACATGAAATTGTGAAATAGACTAGCTCAATTACGAATAGCTTAGCACTCATTTGCATTACAGTACACAAACGGTGTAGCATTGCGTCAAATGGCTCAGGGTAATGTCGAGTAGCACAGCCTACGCACGAACGGTGTAGTGTTGCGTCAAATAGCTCAACGTGATGTCCAATGATACAGCGTACACACAAATGGTGTAGCGTTATGTCGAATAGCTTTGCAGAACATCAGACGCTCTATCTGAACATTAAATTCCTTAGCATTACACGAAATATTTCGATGTTGTAGCGAATCGTCGAGCTCGCTTGTTGGTTTCGGCGAGATAGCCTTCACATTACGCCACCAAAAATGCAAACCGCAAATGGAACAGCGATCTGCTAGGGGGCATGACGTCATTGAATGTGAAGACTGTCGCGAAACCATCACATGGTGTAAGAGTCTTACATCGCCTTGCCGTAAAGCAGAGCCAATTCGGTGAGTTTCTCCTTTTTTTTCCCGCCGATATTGCATTTATTCGTCGTCGTTCATGCAAGTGTTAATTAAAATAGCAACGAGACTGGATTCTACCACGGTTTTACCGGCCTCCCGGTTTACCACAATTTGCACGCGTTGGTGAGCCTGAATGTTTAGAGTATTAAGTAGTGTTAAGACGTACATTAAATGTCGATTGCCGAGCTCTCTTTTCTTTTCTGACTCGCGCTTACTTTTCAATGAGAGTTTAACTGCAAAGGCTCTTTGAACATTGCAGGAGTACTTGAGAAGTTGGATTTTGTGTGTGCCTCGGACGCTATGGTGAGTAAAACTGATATCCTTGATCCGTTTTGACATGTTTCAATCAAACACGTAGTGTTTGCCAAAGCAACCTTTTATCCGAGTTGGTTTTATCGTCCGGCACACCAATTCAAGCATTCTGATATCACTTTTATTGAAGAATGTCAAAACGATCAAGTATATCAGTTTTCTTACCATGGAGGGCTCGACGATCGACATTTAATGCACGTCATTATTAACAATTGGTTCATACGTTCGCGTGCATTCATCGAGATATGAAGCACGTGGGAAGTTTGGAGAGCACGAAAGATGCGTAAGAGTTGCTCGAGGCGTAGCTGAGAGCAACTCTAGCTTCTTGAGTGCTCTCCAAACTTCCCAAGTGCTTCATATCTCGATGAACGCACAGCTGACGTATGAACCAATTGTTTTATAACATTTTCAACCTGATTTATAACATAGATAGTAAATTTGTGTAATCAAATTCAATTGCGCGAGCGTGCTTCATATTTCTATTGTGCAAAAAAATTCTTCATCGGGTTGAAAATGTTATAAAACAATTGGTTCTGAAATTAAGAGATCCTCGCAGCTAAGAACACTACTGAAACGAGTAGTTGATAATAGGACAAAAATTCAGGCCCGTACGGGATTTGAACCCCAATTGGTTCATGCGTCAGCTGTGCGCCGAAATTTGCATAATATGGCGGATGGACACGTTTTCCTAGCTCCGAAGGCTGATCGCTTTATCTCCAGACCGCGGCTTGTTAAGACCAGTTCCTTGCCTGATTTGAGTAAAGTATATACTGACTCAACTCTGGTAGTCGCTGATCAGATTAATAACAAGAATATGTCTACTTCTGTACCCGAATACGGTTCGCTTTCTTCGTCCTTTGAAATGAGCGAAATGGCTGCTATCAAGAATGCATTAAATGGACGGTCCGTCAACTCCCTGAAGGTGAAAGATCTAAGGGACGAACTTGAAAAAAGAAAGCTCTCTAAATCTGGCAGGAAAACTGAGCTGGTTAAAAGACTCAAGGAGTCGATTTTGTCAGGATCTGGTGAAATTCAAATTCCCCGCCACAATGTCAACCAACCGTCACCTCGGCCATCGGCTGTTATAAACCTGGACGACACTAGCAGCAGCCCAGAACAACAGAGTCACACATGCAATGGCTACAAGTCCCTTAAAGATCTATACGACCGCTTGGAAAATGAGGTAAACAAACTCAAAGACTTGTATAGATCTCGATTAACGGACAGTAGAGAAATACAGTCAACCTGTAAATCATGTCAAAATCAACAACGGATACAGGAAGAAAATCGCGCTCTGCGAGAGCAACTTCAGCTAATGAAGGGAAATCTAGATAAAACAAAAGAGGAGCGAGATTCCCTGCAGATGGTAGTATCATTGCTAAGCAAGGAGCTATATAACTTTCGCCTTGACAGCAAGGAAGCTTTTAATGAGTCGCCTTCGGTTGATCCTAAGGTGTCGGATACAAAATGGTCGGATACAAAGGCGGACACAAAGCAAAACAATGGATCATCTAAATCTCAATCTTCCAAAACAACGAAGAATCACCAAAGCAAATCGAGCAAGAAAAAGCCGCCAAACAAGAGTTCTCACAACAGCTCTAATACTCTTAACCACAACCAAGAAAGATCCTCGCCGACCACCGTCATTATTGGCGACTCAATCATCAGAAACATACAAGGGTGGCAATTAGGGAAAGAAGTCGGCCACCGGGTTGTTGTAAAGTCCTTCGCGGGAGCTACAACAAGTGATATGTCACATTATGTGAAACCAACACTGGACAAGAAGC